TTGAGAAGTTCGCATTGCGAATTTGTCTTCGAAGCATGTAATTTTAAAATTACGCAAAACATGCGCATGAACCTAACATCAGATATCGATATGTGTACAATAAAGTTGAAAATAAATAAAGATGTGTTACTTTGATGTCATCACAGTCGTTGTAATTGAGTGTACCATTTGAAAGGTGGGATTGTCAGATTTAAGGATCTGACCTACATAGGCCATGCATGTACTGATTGCAAAGTGACATTAATTTAAAAAAGAAAGAACAAGGGCCAAGAACAGAGCCTTGGGGAACTCCTGTGTTAAAGGTGCAACATTGAGTGCAGAGGGTCATTCAACGATAATCGACCAGTATCAAATTATATTTAAATTTGAATAATTCATCAAGACTAAGTTTCATATATTTTTATCATCCACAAAGAAACCCCCTGGATGAACATTATTTCAGCTGATATTCCTCTTGAAACATGATGGGTCTTAAAAATATATAAGTGGAACTCCCTTTATAGAAGCTTTGAACTGAATTTACACTTCTTAATGCAGAAATTGATAGTTTTTCCATAGGTATAGGTATGTCAAAGATGTTAAGCCAGATGTTGCCCTGATAGCTCAGAAAAAGTAAAAAATTTCGAATTTTCTCTCTACAGGCCTTGTTGCCCCTTCAATATTGCTGATCGAGATGACCTGTCAATACAAATCATATTTGCATTTTGAAAGATTTCTGTGTGATTCTATACAAAATGGGATGTGGGGTGCGGATATCCACGGATATCCGTTAAGTGACGATATCCGCACCGCTTGTTAAGAGGTAGCACATATCAAATAAATGTTTTCGATTTTTAAAAAATTCACGCAGACTTTCAAAATGCAAAAAGAATTCATATCGATTGCTCATCTCGATCACCAATACTGAGTGAAGGATCTAAATTGTGTAATAAAGCAACGATTTCAAATTCTGCACGACAGAGCAAGGATGAATGCTCAGTGCTCGTTAAAGAATGAAGAATACAACTAAGACAAAATTTCCCTTTAATTAGGTATTCTCTTCAAATGGATGACTATGATTGCGTACCCAACGTGATTTTGTTTATGAGATATCACAAATTCAAATTCAAAAATGAACGTTAATATCTGCAGTCTGCACCATGCGCACGTAATATCTGCACCGCTTGTTTTCATATACACCCTTGGTATACGCAGCTAACGAAAATTGACCGGTACGGGTCAAAAGCTGGACCGATACGGGTTAACGGTTTTATTTGAATTTAAAACAGCCATAACTTGCTCAATATTGACTTCCTCGTGTCTAATTTGAAATATATGATGCCTCCCGATGCTTTTCAGTACCCCAATTTTTTACAGATTTTTAAACGGACCAAAACTCTCTAAATCACACCCGGTGATCGTGAAAATGGGACGGAGGGGGGGGGGAGCAAGCAATTTCTGGTAGAAAAATGAACAAATCTGCAAAAATTATTTTTTCAAGAAAAGGTTTATGATTTAATTGCTAAACGAATAGGCGCACGGTATGGTAAAATATGTCGCGTATTCTACGAATTTTTTTTAGCCGATTCTCTTAGGTATAAGATCTATTAAAAAGAGGTGCAACGCCACCAACGTGCAAAAGTCAATGTTTTTGCTTTAAATCAAGCATCAACGGTCTACACAACCTGCAATAAATATTTGTAAGTGACATTATCATCATAGAATTAATAACCTTAATGACTTTACAAAATATGTTTCCATACGTTGTATAAAAAATAATCGAAAATAATTAAAATGGGACGGAGGGGGGGGGAGGGGACGGAGGGGGGGGAGCAAAATGTCTATACGACACGATGAGAGATGTTACTTCACTTTATATCCAAATTTTCCCATTTTCTCATCAATTACAATGGGTTAGGAATTGATAACAAGTTGTATTCGTAGTTAGATTTATTTAGGATTATCAAAATCTTGGAGGAGAGCGTTTATCTTTTTATGTGTATAATAGTTTTTATTTTTTGAAGACTTATCATAAAAATGTAGACATCGCATCATATTTCTATTTGGACATCGAGTAAGCAGTTACTAAAGTTGTTTCATTATTAACCTCGCTACCAGATATCTAGTATATGTTAATATTTTTGATTATGTTGGTCTTCAGCAGATGTAGAATTTAGACTAAATAATCTGCCAGGAAGTTTCCCAATTAGTGTATCCAATCATACCATGGGCACATCGCCTATTACGCCAAATACTGTACTGTACTTTGCATATATTTTCTCACATTAAGTGTAATATATGTATTTATTATGCAATATGCATCTCACATTTAGTGCAATATATGTATTTGTTGTAACATTTGTCCTCGACCATATGCACTTTGCAATTCACATTTAGTGCAATATATGTATTTATTGTAACACTTGTCTTCGACCATATGCATTTTGCAATTCACATTTAGTGCAATATATGTATTTATTGTAATATTTGACCAAATGGGTGATGTGCTGTGTATGATATGCCTACAAATCAGCAAGTAAAAACGTTAAGACAGGTAGATAGATATAGATAGATAGATAGATAGATAAACAGTCTCCTGGAATATTTTGCCAACCTTAATTTGACCCCTCTAACTAAACCTAACAAGTACAACATGTTATCAATTCCTGACCCTTTGTAATTGAGGAGATAATGGGAAAATCTGGATATAAAGTATCAAGTAACATCTCATATCATATCTTATAGACATATTGCTCCCCCCCCCCTCCGTCCCCTCCCCCCCCCTCCGTCCCATTTTAATTATTTTCGATTATTTTTTATACAACGTATGGAAACGTATTTTGTAAAGTCATTAAGTTCATTAATTTTATGATGATAATGTCACTTACAAATATTTATTGCAGGTTGTGTAGACCGTTGATGCTTGATTTAAAGCAAAAACATTGACTTTTGCACGTTGATGGCGTTGCACCTTTTTTAATAGATCTTATACCTAAGAAGAGAATCGGCTAAAAAAAATTGTAGAATACGCGACATATTTTACCATACCGTGCGCCTATTCGTTTAGCAATTAAATCATAAACCTTTTCTTGAAAAAATAATTTTTGCAGATTTGTTCATTTTTCTACCAGAAATTGCTTGCTCCCCCCCCCCCTCCGTCCCATTTTCACGATCACCGGGTGTGTAAATGCGCATTTATGCTCTTTTCTCTCGAGAGCGACTGTCTCATTTTCAAGATAACTTTTATTTAGTACTTCTAACATATAAGATCTATTTTTCCCCATCAAGGTATGATGTAAATGACATGATATTTACATCTTGTGAGTTTCAATGACGCACGTTTGATTTTATAAAAATGCCAAACTTTGTGACAAAGAATTTCCTTCTGCTTGCAGCGAGAAGACGGACCGGTTCGGGGCAATAACACACATGTATAAAGATTCCTAAATTATGTTCATGCTATTGCCCCGAACCGGTCCGTCTTCTCGCTGCAAGCAGGATGAAATTCTTTGTCACAAAGTTTGGCATTTTTTATAAAATCAAACGCACGTCATTTAGAGAGTTTTGGTCCGTTTAAAAATCTGTAAAAAATTGAGGTACTTAAAAGCATCGGGAGGCATCATATATTTCAAATTAGACACGAGGAAGTCAATATTGAGCAAGTTATGGCTGTTTTAAATTCAAACAAAACCGTTAACCCGTACCGGTCCAACTTTTGACCCGTACCGGTCAATTTTCGTTAGCTGCGTATACCAAGGGTGATATAGCACAGTCTGTATGTTCGGTATAGGATAGGGTGATTAAATGGGAATGGATAACTTTATCTAGTATTTTAGATAGACTTTGCAGTAGTGTCACTGGTCTGTAATTTTCAATTGTCGTTCGTTCACTTTTTGTAAATTGGAATGATATTTCCTTCCTTCCAGACGGACGGAAATTTCCAGTTTTAAAGATAAGATTAAAGAGGTCAAAAAGTTTTGATGACAATGAGGGAGATGCTAATTTGATCATATTGCTGGTGATATTATATGAATGTATAAACATGCGTGAATTCATTCAGTTCTCAAAAAGCTTTAAGCAATTCGTTAAAATAATCTCAGAATTAACTTTTATAAGGTATTTAGTTTTAGGACGATGAAGTTTCTCTGATTCTACGTAATGTCAATATCTAATTGAGTTTTTCCTTCAGGTGGTAGTAATCACTTTTCCACAACTATTTACTGTGACCTCGTCAAAGTAACAAATAGTGGAACTTCTCGTTAAGTTTTGTCAGTTTAAACCTAATTATAACTCAAGTTGTAGATTGTCAGATTTTTAGAGAACATATAGTCAAGTTTCAAAATATACACAAGGACGCGGTTGGAAATTTGGTTTTCCAAGTGGAGCCGAAATTAATACATTTAGTCCCTCGCTTTTGTTACATTGGGGTACAAGTCCAAGTCAACATAACAATGGTAATATTCTAGACTTTCGTCGATGCATGCAACAAAAGCGAAGACTAATATTCAAATTGCGTCCTTTTTAAATCCAAATTTCAAATCGAATGTGTATTATTACAACACCATATTCTCTAGCTTTTGGTCAAAAAATATGCGACTCGACTTAGAAGTAGGTTAAAATCATGAAAACAAAAAATCTTATGGAACTAAAACTTTCCTTCATTTTATAACATTGACGTAACTAGTTGGAGAACAGTGGTAATACAATGTTAAACATCACAAAATCCACAGAACGCATAAAAATGTTAAATAAAAATAAATTTCAAGATATCACAAGTATACCATACTATATTTATTCAATATATTAGTATTTTAAAAAGCAATAACGTAAAAAGCAAGGCATAATTATATGCAAGCAGTATATACAGCAGCAGTTTAAAATGAATACTGCATCTCGTTTTAAATATTGAACTTCATTCGCAATAGCTTGATTGCACCTTTTCGAAAGAAAACATATCACTAATACATAGAAACAAAATTTGTCACTAAAATGCCATTATTTGATACAATATCACCAACATATACAAAGTAACAAAATGTCACCAATTACTACATAAAAACGATGTAACAAAATGTAACCATCTACATTGAATAACTTGAAAACGTTCCAAATACATTTGTCCATTGTTACATTTCAATGAGGGCATTCCCTCTCGAGCTGTCTTCACATTACTAAATGTAATCAGTTCATTTCATAATTTACTCCCAGCTACCAAAACACTCACAAATTACCAATGGCTTGCAAGCATTATTCAAAAATGCAAATGCATGCACCCCTCAGAATGTCAGAATTGCACATTTGACGTCACTCATTGGTTGAGCAATCTATGAATGGTACAAATTGGAATCAATGCAATTACTGGAATGATAATAGCAAGGGAATGATAATTGTATTATCTGAATGGCAACGTGTCTACATGACAACGCAGTCAACGCTGTCCTTCCCAGCCCGGCCTTCTAGCTCATCTCCTGCCTTTCGACACAGGTCAACCAGATATAGATGAGGCTTAATTTTTCCTTTGGGTGGGGCGTTGTATGTCTGAATACCGATACGTGGACGCTCGTATAAACGCGGGGCAAACATGGCATATATACAATGCTGATCAGTGGTCATGATGCTCATGTCCATAAACTTGTGGATGTATCGCCTGTACTCCTGAGTCCAAAGTTTCATGACATCTCGCCTAGCGAGGAAGAAACTACCAGAGAGCCAGTTATGGTTATTTTTTATGATATCAACGTGAGTGAAGATGTCATTTTTCTTTGAGATCTGACTATATGCAACTTTGTGAGTATCAAAGTGAATGGGTAGGGCTAATGTGAATGGGTCGCCAGTTGATTTAATGTCATCCTTGAAAATATTACAATCCATCCAAGCATAGTACTTGGTTTCGAAATAATTACTATGTATAGCATCGTCCATGAGTTCATACTTAGCGTGTGTTACACAGGCGAATTCTGGATTCACTGTGTTTGGGGCAATACTGGGGTACATTGGGCTACGAAATACTTTTGAGATCTCATCTCGGAGAGCAAATGCCCACATTCTCTGTCTGTCAACTTGAACAATTTTAGTCATTTCTGCAGGAAAATTCTCCCTGCTTTGTCGGAATTTGTGGGCTGCGTGCTCGGTATCGAAATAAGCTACAACAGGATTGGCAACTCGTGAGAACACTTTCATCCATTCTTTATACATTGAAGGGGTCCGTTTTTTCTTACCGTCAAACCGGACGCTCCCGATGTCAAAATAAGCAGTCACAATCGTTATTTCGTCAGATGAACTTCCCATAGACGATACTGTTTTATCAAACGATCCAGTAGACGCATAGGAATCAGAATATGGGCCTCCAAGTGGATCGGTACTATCTAACCTCTCTTTTGATTGAGACGTAGAGGGTCTACTTCTATCTTCATTTGTACTCTCTGCTAGTTCACTTCCTCGTGTGTCTTCACCATCGAGAACATCTTCATCTGATACCTCCATGTCATCCTTTTTCAAGTCTTTTGATACATCAAGAGTACTTTCTGTTTCTTCATCTTCAAATTCGTTACTTAACTCATCTTTCTTAGATCTATTCTTCTCTTTCCTCTTAGATCCTTTCCCGGAAGTTTTTTCTTTGTTCTTACTTGAGGTCTTGCTACTCACACCGCTATCTATATCACTGTCCTCATTGGCAGATGTCTCCTTCATTTTTGATTTACCTTTGTCCTTTCCTTTCTTTTTGCTTTTGCCCTTTTTGTTTATTGTTTCTTCTTGGGTTTCTGAACGTTCCTCATTTTCGGAATCATATTCTTCTATACTTTTACGTTTGTTTCGTTTGTCTTTGTCTTTCTTTTTATCATCAGGGAGATCGTCTTTGCTGGTCTTTCCTCTAAAAAACCAACGTCGTTTTGACTTCTCTTCATTCGTGTTGGTGGAAGGCATTTTCCAACTGGAATGGAAAGAATAATTGTCATCAAAGGTAAAATAGAGATGCGCTTTCCTGATTTGATAATCTAGGAGTGTCAAGATAAGATTTGATTTAAACATTTTGAATTTGTGAATGGCACGATCATTCTGATTACGATGACTAATGCCAAAAACTACAACGAAGTATTGATTCCCAGCTCTGAAAAAATGCGATAATGACACGACATGGTGACTCAGTAGTACTGAAATAAAGTATTCATACGCACAGGGTGGGCCAAAAAATCAGCATGGAATTTGAAATCTTGGCACAATTTGTTCAATGAACCCTTGAAATATTGAAACAAGAGATAAGAAGGAAGATGAGAGCCATAACGCAAGATGTCTGTGCTCGTGTAGTGAACAGCTATGCCCGATACGTTCAAGTTAGCATCCAGACACGGCGTCGTTATTTTTATAGCATGTTTTGGGACCATTGGAAATAGACGAAATAAACTGAACATTATGAAATAACACTATGCATGTACACTGATATGATGGCATGGCAAACACACGCATGGCATTTACAATAGTAAAAAATTCGTGCACGAGGTAGAATAATACTACACTGTACATTTATTAATGACAATCCAGTGACATTCATTGACAATGTCATGTTGTTAAGGTGTTGTTAAAGGCAAAATATACATTGTTCGTGACATAGTTGCAAGGACATGGGTATAGACAGGTATGAGACAGGCGAAGCAGTTGTCAGACTAGTTTTTTGCACAAATATTGAATAAACATTCTTATTCAACAAAAGACTATGGAAAATGAAGTTACAATATTTATATCTCATTTAGCCATGATGGCTCACTTCTTTGCCTATTTATACTCCTGGCTTAGCCCCTGCGATAAAAGCTACCAGACTCAAATTTGGCAAAATCAAGTGTTAAATACACCTTTTTAAAGAGGCAATAAGGACTGTAGAGAGAAAATTCGAAATTTTTTATTTTTTCTGAGCTATCAGGTCAATATTTGGCTTAATACCTTCTTTGACATACCTATTTTCATAAAATGTATGTATAAACTATCAATTTCAGCATTAAGAAGTGTAAATTCAATTCAAAGCTTCTATAAAGGGAGTCCCACTTATAGATTTTTAAGATCCACCATGTTTCAAGAGGAATATCAGCTGAAATAATGTTCATCCAGAGGGTTTCTTTGTAGATAATGAAAATATATGTTAGTCTTGATGAAATATCCAAACCTAAATATATTTTGACACTTGTCGATGATCGTTGAATGGCCCCCCTGCACTATTTGTAGCACCTTTAAAGATAACATAAGTTCGATACATATCGATAGGCTATAAAAAACAATATTGTACCCAATTGTGAATACAAATGACATGTACGTTTTTTTGGCCACAGCATCTTACACCTACAGCTTTGCCCCAATACTGGCAAAACACATCGAGTTAAACAAGTTTTATAATCAAATTTATTTGACAATTTACATATGTCAGACAGTAATAGTCTTCGACCAGCTGACTTCACTGAGCAGTCCCCGGGGACCAGTCATTGTGTGCTGCCGGCCACGAGGCTCACGGACTTTCACTGGTCAGTCAATTGCCAGTCAGTTTTCAGGAGTACCCGTTTTGAATTCGTTAACATGGTGATAATTATTTCAATTATTGTTAATACTTCCAATATGGCGTCTCATTTACGTATACGAGTATTAACACTGATGTACAATGTACTTTACCTGTTTTCCTCCGCAATCGTAGAGTCTTAAAACCATATGTGAATCTCAAGGCAAATGTCTGATATTAATGTAGTACAGGTAAGCCTGAGTTAAAGTCGCTTCACTCTTGGGTGAAGGAAAGAACATGTTCAGGAAATTGAAACTAATTTGTCGTACCTGTAAAGGTACGCGATCTTGACCTTTGCTCATAAACACTACCTTAATGATGCGTGCGCAGTCTGAATAACCGGGAAAATTCAAAATTGTAATCATCATTCATTTGGAAAACAGGAAATATAATATATATAACATCCGAGGCCCGGGATTTCAGTTATACGAGTGTAGAAAGCCATAATCACTGACTTGGATATAAGTTTACAAATTATGTAAAATGCCCTAGGTTTTAAGGGAGCCTTTGTAAGAGTGTAAAAGTGGTCAAGGAACCCAATATACTACAGTCACTGGATCGACAGAGCTTTGACTTTTCATTTCAACCGACCTTGGGCTCAGAAGTGAAGGTACCTAATTTTAGGTTTGAGGATTTGAGACAAAACGAGGACAAAAGGCAAAACCAAGACCCCGGCCCTGGGCGAAAAACATCTCTCATGTCGTTCAGTGTAAAACGTAACCCAGCACAAGAATACACTTCCTGTTTGCCAAGTTTTAGATAAAATTTTCAGTTTAGATGTTTAGACTTCCCTAGTTAAAAGCTATGTTAACAGAAAACGAAAAAATTGGATGTAAAGAGTTATTATCTAATCTTGATGAGAATGATATCAAACTGCTAAAAGATACAGTAACGGGAAAGAAGATTAATGCAGAAACAAAATCAGGTGAGCTCAAACTGAAACTCAAAAAGTCAAAGTTGTTTCATTTTCAATTTCTAGATTCAATTTTGAAATATATTATATTGGGGTTTGTGTAAAAAACCGGGTGGCCGGGTAACCGGGTACTAACGTTCCTTGCAGGGTTACCAACTTTCAAAGTTGCACATTTGTAGACTACCCTTCAATATTTTTACATTATCATTTTACCAAGAACCTGTAAGAGACTGAATTTCGGAAGTCCTAGGTAGTTATTAACACAATTTACACGTATGATGACGTTAGTTGCTTGATTTATTGTCCGAGCGATTGACAGAATATCGATGATTGTTTTCTATGATGGCGATTTCTACTAGATATTAAACAAATCTGGAATATTTACGTATGCGTAATTTGAAACGTTATTTGCCGTTTTTATCTGTTCATTAGTGTACGATGTTCAATACAACTTTAGTTGCTTGATTTATTGCCTCACCAATTGACATTATATTAATTTTGTGTCGTTTTGCCGGTTGATTTATTGGTTAATAAATTTTGTTGCTTGTTTGGTTGTTTGCTTGATCGGTTGTGTCACTGGTACGTTGATTGGGATGCCAGTTGGGCGTTTTGAGGCATAAAATGAAAAAATCAAATTCTTAACCCTGGTAGGAAGGTAGGGTACCCAGTCACCCGGCTAACTGGTTACCTGGTCACCCGGTTTTTTACACAAACTTTTTTATATTGGTGTTTCCAAAAATTTCACTGTACAATAAATAAGGCCTCAAAAGGCCCAGTAATGACCAAAGGCACACCTTTTGGGGCCTTCAAGCCTTTTTCGGCCCAAAATTTTTTTTCGGCCCAATTTTTTTTCTGGGCCCACCCAGGCTAGGTCTTATGTTGTTGGACTTTTGAGTTACATTTCTATACTAATTCACATTTTTTACAGAGGCAATCAATGTTTTGGTTACATACTCTGAAAGTGCAGAAGAACTATTAAAACGTCAGAGGTTGAAACGTGATTTCCTTTTCCAATACCTAGTCCTCAAGAATGTGGTTGTTCCTGTGAGGGCAGAGAAGCGCATCCTGATCCAAGCAATTATTCAACATTGGAATGGACATCAGGTAAATCAGTTTGGCAAAGCTCATATATCTATCCTAAAGAAAAAATGTGAACAAACAGGGTTTAGTGAAAAAAAGAGGGACTGGGTACTTGATCCTATCCTCTACGCGGGGTACTGAAAAAGTGTTGAAAATTGGGTACCTAGAAAACAGGTATCTAAAAAACCTATTTAACAAATTTTCTGAATTTTTGGGGAATGGGGGGTTGGACAATGCTACATATATATTTTTGAGAAGCTATCATTGTCATGTTTAATGTATTTTTTGCAAGAATTAAATTGGTCCTCTAAAAAATGAAACAATACATATTTGTACTTTAAAATGAAGATAACTCAATATTTTACCGCATGACAATGTAATGTGCATTTTATTATCTTGATAATGGCTAACCTTACAATGTTCTCCCCTGACACTTAGTAAACTAAAGAGTAAAATAATGGATTTTTATATGTATTAAAAAGATTCTTCTTCAAATTCTTCTCCCAATAAACATTCCATAACTACACAGTTAAAAGATAATTTATTGATCAAACTTAAAATAACTACATGTATATCTAATATGTGTATGTATACTAAATTGTAATCAAAAATCATTTTTGGTGGAGACATACTGTTATTGGTTATAGTCTCCTACTTTTTCATGACGGCATTCGGCAGTTGGCATCTGGCTTCCACATCTGTAATAAATGACAGGTGGTGACATTTTGCATGTTAATACCTTGTTTGTAAATGATTTCAGGAGATTCCTGCACAATCTACCATACAGAAACCAGAAACTAATATTGGAAGAGACCTAGCATACAAATTTATACCTTGGTTCTATAAAATGCTAAATGCCAATAATCCTACAAACTTTGAACCAAATGAATATGGAGCTCAACATTTCTGGGATGATTGTAAGTTAAAAATGGTATGCGCAACCCCTGACATTACAGAAGAAGAACATCAAGGCTCTACAGGGGTCTGTGCAAGATTACTAGCATTTGTACGTGAAGAACGGTTACTATTTAACCCCAATACTACCCCAGAAGGGACACAGGGCCATAGTACAGCACATGGCTTAGTTAATGTGTTATCATGTGGAACAATACACCGCAATGACCTATGTTTAGGTGTGTTTGAGCAACAATTTGGATTAATACGTGACCCAAATATGCAAGATAATTGGAGGATTAAATTCTCTCATTTAAAAGTGAGGAGCTCCCAAGTTACACAGCTACCAACTTTACAAGACCCTGGATGCTCAGATTTGTTAGCTTTGGAACAGGGATAATATATACACTTTGCCATAGTGACACTGGAGATTGTTAATGCTTAATATACTAGTAGTAATATCTGCTTACAGGATTGGCCCAAAAACCAGTCAATTATAAGAGGCCATGTGTTAAACCTTAAAATTGCTTATGAGGTTGTTTCATTCTTCTCAGATCAAGCTGCTGATGAAACCAGCTCCTCTTCATGTAGCCATGATGGACCAAAACAATTTCAGCCAAATCTGTGTATAGACCCCCTCCCCACCTGTGATATATCTAACACATCTCTGACATGAGGCTATTTTCTGTATCAAAATGAATATATATATATTATATATAGGCTTCAGTTTAGCTTATAGAAATGATTTAGGTGGCTAAATTACTGGGGTTTTGAAGAATGCTGATTTCATTTTTTAAAGTTAAAGTTTAAGAGTAGTTAAACTCTTCCTTTACTCAGTCTGAATTTTTTGGTCCATCAGAGCTACGTGAATTTCAAATTACTGCTCCAGAAAGTTCTATTTAGCATGGTAAGCATCATAAAAAGTATCTTTTCAAGGCCCGTGCAAAGTTTGAAAACATTGTTAAAATTATTATTACCACATTGCCAGGCCTGTTCTAGGGGTATTAGTGCTAATTTAGATGGCTTTTATTTTACTATATTGACCTGAGCAATATGTGACTAACTACAATATAAGCCTTTACTTAGTGCTTTACAAAGTGCATTTAATGCACAAAAGAGACAGAAATTGTTAAAAATCTGGTTACCTTTTCCAAATATGTATCAAATTGCACGTAAAGGCCACTGTTTTAACCACCATTTATACAACATTTTAACTAATTAAAAAATATCTCTGTTTACATTGATCCCATATAAGTCTACATACATGTATTAATGCAAGCATTCCAATCATGGGAGATTTTTCACCAAAACTCACATTGTACTTTATGCTTCACAATTCATATGTACGACACAGAGAGTTAGCTTCGATGTTATCTTTTGGGGCATAATAAAATCATGCGTATTAGCAATTTAAACTCTATGTTATCTAAGTTAGAATGAAATATACATCTTCATTTATAGTTTGCCAGTGCACATACTGCGACTTTGATATACTTCATAAAAATCTTAATGTCCATTTTTTATGTCCCTTCCTTTGGAGTATTGATTCATTTAGAATACTAGTAAACTCGAAAAAACAAATATACATATATGTACATTCAGTTTAGTGTTATATTTTGGCTATAACCTGAATACTAATTTCATATCTGAAAAGTGTCATGGGTGACTAATTTGCCATCTATTTCTAGCTGAAACATTCAGCATGATAAATAATATTTGAAAGGTTTATTGTTCAATGGGATTTGCTACTCCACACAATTGCTGGTTGTTTAGTATTTTATAAATTACTTGGCAATACTTATTGATACATTGATCAAAGTCATACTATCATTATTTTAATTTGGCTTGACAAAATCCATGATTTATCTCACCTTCCGAATTCGCTTACTTCTGCATCTCTTTGTCAAATACATCCTGTGGAGACTGTTGTATGTGAATTTCTGAAGGTTCTTTAATATAACAGATATTATTTTTAACAAAACTAATTTTTGCAATTGATATTTTATTAAAATATTTATTCACCTATTCAATTTGCAATTCTGCACATAACAAGTACATTCCCACTGTGTAAATAGTAAAATGAGATATATCACCAACAAAAAACTGCAATGTAATACTGTATACAGATTTAAATAATAACATGGACATACTGTGCTTACAAGTGAGAGAATTCAATAGTCATATTTTAACAATCTTGTGACAATAATTATGACAAAGTATTAATATAAAGTAATAATTCATGAGCTATAGCTAAAAGTCAAACAAATACAGCTCCATAAAAAATGACTGCCATCGTTATGATAACATCTAATTGTTTGTACAAGTATAACGCCCATTCTACAGGCACAGTTTGACATTGGTATAACTGAATTTTCAATAACAGTTGTACAATATTGGCACAAACACAAAAAGCAACACTTGAATAATATCACAACCAACACAGTTGGATACTGGCACAACCAACACAGTTAACCTAAACAGCTGGATACTGGCACGGCCAACTCAGTTGGATATTGGCTCTACCAACAGTCAACCTACACAGCTCGATACTGGCACCACCAATAAAGTTTGATATTGGCACTACCAACACAGTTGGATATTGGCACAACCAATACAGTTGGATATGGCACTACCAACACAGTTGGATATTGGCACAACCAATACAGTTGGATATTGGCACTACCAACACAGTTGGATATTGGCTCTACCAACAGTCAACCTACACAGCTCGATACTGGCACCACCAATAAAGTTTGATATTGGCACTACCAACACAGTTGGATATTGGCACAACCAATACAGTTGGATATTGGCACTACCAACACAGTTGGATATTGGCACTACCAACACAGTTGGATATTGAAATTATATCAACCTGAGTGAACAAACAGTTGAATACTGGCATTGACTGTATATAATGCAACATATTGGCATTATAATTTATAAACCCTGTGCTAGAATCGCAGATATACAGAGTCAGGGAGAGTCTTTAAGAGAAGAACCTTCAAAGTCTGGTAACATTGAAGCTACTTTTCTTCGTAAGTTCATGATTCGCTTTTCTTTCTCACGTTCCTGCCTTAACATAATAGGGTATTGTCTCCAGTTGCTGAATGAGATCCTCTTGAGACGCCTGCAAGTATAGAAATAAGAAATGTTTGTGTTTCTGCTTTGTCTTTTTTCAAAATACTCAATTGGCCAAGATATTAAAGAAGTTTCCCTTTAATGATTAAAAGTTGATTGCACGCCTATATTAATTAATACAATGTAATACTGACCATATGTTATGCTCCCGTGCTATTCGTTCTTTTTCCCAGCCAGATATTTTCTCTTCAGTGGTGACATCTACCCAGGCAAGAAATAAACGTGCACGTAACCTTTTCAGGTAAAACATGTCTGCCTTTTCCTGTTGGATTGCCATATACTGCCGACACTGAAATATTTATTAAAAGAGGCTTAGTGCCAAACTCTGGTCAATACATCCACCAAAAGGAGACTTAATACTTTGACAAACCCAACAATAAGAGAATAAATCATCTTTTACAATAAGAAGTGCATACAAAAATCATCACATTCCTCATCAACTTCCAGGGTTGAAGACAATAAAAAGGTCTCTCTTCATCAAATTTCTGAAAAATACTGAACTTGAAGAAAACATTGAAATTGTAACTCTGAATTAATGAATCTGAAATATTATCTTTAATATCTCTTCATCTATCTATACCTTCCAATTTCATATAAAAATGCAGACAATGAGGACATCCAAGACTTCAAGCCAATTCAATGATAAAATATTTGTAGGCTACTCTTACTAGTAATTAACACTAAAATAATTTATGAAAGAATGAAATTAATAAATTAATGGAAAATGATTTCAAAGTTTTATTTTGACAAGAGCATACCCTTTTCCAGTTGTTCATGCATCTCTTCACTATAAGGAAGTCATAATATTCATCTGCCACTTTCTCTTTCTCTGAGACGACCTGTCTTGTTTTACTGTCCCACCTCGTAAAAGCGTGCCTGAAAGAATACCGATTAAAGTCAGTGCATTCATTTTGGTAACCATTTTTTGTAATGGCACCATTCGTTTGGGCACAAGCATTCTGATGTTCGTAGCATCTCTCACTGTGTATCGCAGAAGGACAGATGGAGAAGGCATGGTTTACGATACAACAATGGTTCACATGTTGAAATGGTGTATATTAAGGACTCCGAAAATTGATCTGAGCATTGGTTTAGTCTATTGCCAGTTGTTTTGTCTCGAAATTGTTGGCAAGAAGTCATATAGATGAATGAATGGGTGATTGCATAGGCTCTTCATGTGAGCTTAGAAACCTAATCTAAAAGAGCCAGGATTTAACACCATACCCCTAAAGAATTGAAATGCGCATTGGCTCAGATTCAGGCAGTTTGGAAACTTACAAACAGATGGACAGATGATTGATAGGCTCAACAGTGACCATCCAGTAGATGTATATGAAGGAAATACCCAAAAATTGATATGAGCATTGATTCAGATGAATCACACTTTCCATCTGTTCAGATGGTTTAAATGAGTAGGACCTATAGATTCATTATCCAGTGGATATATATGAAGGAAATATTAACATAATACCTCATTAGACATGTATTGTTGAAATGATCAGCAGCATTCCTGTCGTTTTTAGCCTGCACTGCCACCTTTCTAAGTGGAATAAAACCCCAATACTTCATGACGCTTAGTCTATAGTGGACATCTGCCTTTTCTTGAAGCTCTCTCATTCTAGAAGCTTGTTCTTGTTTTTCCTTTTCTTTCTAAAAATACATAATACACAGTGTGAGTCTTTACCAAGTGGTGGAATTGTTTCTGATTTCAAATATATGAAATGAATAGACAAATCTTGTTAATCTCGAAGATAAAATGCATGCATAAATGTTACAAATATTTTTTCTCTAGAATCTGAGAATAGAGCATGCTTTGTTTTTGAAAGCAGGGATGACAAAGAATTATATACGAGCTCTACGTATTCTATTAATTTGAGCACATGTGGTTTTCGACTAACATGTTGAAAAATCCCAACTTGTCTGTCTGGCTGTATGTCCACCTCTATGTCCGTCTTCAGATTTTATGGTTCCAACCTTTATGGCAAATACCAATTTAAATCAAAACTTCTTACTGATATCGGTTGAGTGAAAAATTTCAAAAACGTCAAGGTCAATTTTCATCACATACTTCAAAAAATTAAACCAAAAAATTGTTAGACATCATCTTTTAGTAACGTTTCAAAAATGAGGGCTAGTTACTAGATAGTATCTAAAATTGATGTCAATTTTTATTACTTTGGATATAATAATTTATAGAACAAAATAAAATATAAAGGTTATTGGATTTTCTTATTTTTTACAAGCTCTCCGATTTTCACTTTTCTGTTTAAAAAGCTACTCCCATGTTTAGATTATTAAAAATATCTATGTGTATAGTGCTATGTAATTCTACCTGTTTTTCTAAAAGCTTTTGCTCTCTTCTGAGTGCAATTCTTGCTTGTTTTTCCTCATCTTGTTTCTTCAACATTTCCTCTTCCTCAGCCTTCAGCCTCTCCTACAATCAGACATCACACATAGAACACAGTTATACTGCACAATAATATTGCATTCTCTAACTATACCAGGTCCGTAACCAGGATTTGCCAAGGGGATTCACTTTTTAAAAATTCCAGGGGTTTCACTTTTGACAAAAATGGCCAAAATCAGTTGAAAAGTACTCAGAATGGTGAGAAAACTGCATGATTTTGAAATTTTTGCGAAGGGCCCTGTATACTGTACATATGGCCTACATTCCATCAAACACAAACTTATTCATAAAGTCAATGGATTTTACCATGTACCATACATGAGATCAAAATCAATAACTGTTTTTGTAATTTAAATCCCAAGACATGCATTATTAAATGACAATTAAACTTAAAATATTCTTTAAATTGAAGAAAGGGTTGAGTAATTTAATTCATTTTGTTTCAGTTGCTGCCAACTTAAGCAACAATCGTTGCAAGATAGTGTTAATAAATAACTTGAATATTGCTGTTTATCAGCTTTTAACCACCCATGGTATGAAGTGACTGGCGAGGCCATATAAAAAAATTCATCATCTAGTAGAGGAGACATCAGGTCATAAATTTGTATTGTATCTAATTAGCTGTATTTGCATCAACAGAAATTAAATTTCTTCTGAAAATGGCAGCCATTTTTAATTTAGCAGCCATCCTGAAAATTAATCTGGAACAAAGTCTCTGACCACAAAGCACAAGCACATAAAAACTAAACTAAAATATGGCAGCTTGTATTTAATAAAAATAATTTTATCTTCTGATACGATGTAACAGTCCCAGAATCCAAGATGGCTGCCAAAAACTGAAATAGACAACTAACCAATTTTTCTTCTTCCTCCTTCATGCGCCTTTCCTCCCTTTCCTTTTTAATGCGAGCTCTCTCAGCAGCTCTCTCTTCCATAGCTGTAAAAGTATATAGCATCGTAAACATCAACTTTGTAACGAGGTAATATAACATTGTCACAATATCATCAACATTAGACCTGTAATGTATCATGGAATGATTCTAACAACATCAGATCTGATTAGATTGTTTTAATTGTTACACAGTTTAACTACTAAGCCGGGCTTAAATGTTGCTGAGAAAAAAGCTTTACATAGTTATAATTTACATTGCTGTTAGCTCGTATTCCTTGAGCCAATACTGCCAATAGCTTACCTTGCTGGAACTTGGAATGCTTAGAGTTGGTGGATGTTTTACTTGAAGTTGATGCTGTACTTCTCTCACTACGCGCTGAGGTTGGCATTCTGCAAGATAAACACACTCTGAATGTTGGAGAAAATCACATACATACAGGGCCATTCCTAGAAATGTATAGCAACACAAGCAAACAGTGTGAGGTGGCGATCACTGTAAAACATGTTTCCTTGCATTTGAGATGTAACATGAATGTCAAACCCTGAAGGCTTATCATTGAGTTGATAACACTAGGTCAGGTCACATTTTCCGAAAATTACGGAAAGGCACTTGAATGAATAGCAAGAAAAATTGATTCGTTTTTGTCTGTCAATAAATATGGTGCGTATTACTGTAGTTGGAATATGTTTAAACAAAGGAACTGATGCATAAATCATGCACAATGAGACAACTGATTAAAGGACCAATGCCCATAGGCCAATTGGAAACTTCATTGTCATAATAAACTACATACCTTGGTGTGGTCTTGGATGCATTAGACCTTGCTGTGTCCTGTTCAACATTTGTATCTTTTTCTTTAATGACAATGTTGTGTTGTAAATTACTTAAAACACCAGCTGCACTTTGAGGAGTTAGATTATTCAGCTGTTCTTGAATCATCTGCTGCTGTTGAATCTGCTGCTGTAACAGCTGATTCTGCTGTTGAAATTGTAAGTCCTCTATCAGTCGCTTTTGCTCTCTTAATTGTTTTTGCTGCTCTTGAAGAATTTTCTGTTGGGCTTCATGACGATTCTTGAAAGTATTTTCTGCTTGAAGACTAGTTTTATTGGTTGTTCTTTTAGTTTGTCTGGCATTTCTAGTTTTCTCCCTGTTTGAAGAAACATCATCATCATAGTCTTCATTTGTATTTATAGGTGGCACTTGTGGAGCTAATTGTGATTTTGTAAGCTGGACATGACGTCGTGTTACCTGCCATGGCTCAGTTGGTTTCTTTAAAGAACTATTTGACTTGGTGCTCCTTGCTGAACTGAGATCACTTCTGTCTGTCACTCCTCCACCAGAGTGGCACTTGCTGCTTCCTTCAGCAAACATTTCATCCTGGAATCAAATTGTGTCATAAATATAGTGAATTCTCCAAGTGAAACAAAATTTTTTAGATGATTTTTAATGACGATGAACTGGCCTGTCTTTTAAAAATTGGCCATTGCATTAAGCTTTATTAAATTTGCATATTTTTTAAAGTTTTTTGTCTAATCATTTCAAAATTTCCTGACACCTTTAGTTCTCTTCAGCCCGATTTTAAAAACGGACATTTCCAGGTGCTGTAAAAACAAATACATTCCCTTTACATTTCTTGGGTCTGTAGGACTAGGAACCCTACATTAGTAGTTCTATTTAATATATTACCACTTTACGATCTGTGTCTATTTCATCTTTCTGGGACCTATCAGATTGTTCATTTCCGTCCCATAATTTTCCAGTGGAGGCTGCCTCAAGAAATGCTGCCATTTTGCTACGAGTTTTCTCCTGAAAGGAAGCCAGCTCTCGTTGAGCAACTTCCTGTTGGACAAACAGCTGCCAGGCTTGTAAGCATTTCTTCATGAGAGTTTGGTAATAGTGCTCTTGTGCCATTTCATTTTGCCTGAAAAGATAGAGGTCAATTACAACATCAGATTCCTCATGAAAGTGCATGAAAACATGAGTTTACAAATCCCAATTATCACATGTTCAGGATCATGTCTGTGTATTACAAAAAATATAAATTCCTCAGAGTAGCAAATCCCACCCTTATAAAATCACTCATCAGTTTGAACAATCAATCATATATCAACCAACAATATTTTTTCAAAAATAGGCATCGCACAACAAATGAATATTGCCTGATTTTTCATGTCAAGTGACCTGCTTTTGACCAATCATACAGTAATAACATAGGTATTGCTAGTATGATTATAAGAAGCCTACCTATGGTGTATCTTCATGTACATAGCATGTTGCTGGGATTCCCTCTCAAAACGTTTGCTGCGTGAGTATGACTTCCAAGCATTCCAAGCCCTCAGCAGGCATTTCCAATCTGCCATAGCCCTCGCTTTACCAATCTTCAGCCTACGATCCAGCAACAGCTGGTACCAAGCAGAAAAGTGTCTCTGCAACATCTGAAATATAATCACTTATTTGTAGCAGTATTATTATGTCTAGCACCTCCCCATTACTGTCATTAAGGCAACCCCATCTTCTGAAGTATAATGGTGTCTATAGCACCTCCCCCTGTAGTAGCCCCATCTTCGTACTGCATCTACAGCACAATTGGATCTTATCAATCAAATCCCATTGGAAAACTTTTGCCAAATTAAATCTCTTTATCAGTTGGAAACAATACAGTACACTTTATAAATGTCTGAGAAATCAAACCTTTAAATTGTCAGCAGATTTTCTTGCTTCTACATGCTGGATTTTTCTCATAATGTTTCGCTGCCTTTCAATTTTCTTTGCCTCAAGAGCATTCAACTGCTCAGCCTCATCATGTTCCAGTCTTTCCAATGCTTCTCTTGCTTTTTCAGCCTTTTGCTCATTTTCAAGCTTTTTCCTAAAAGCACATTGCATCTAACATTATACTCTTGATCAAACAATCAAAGAAATGCATTTTAAAAGAACAACATAATGCATGGTAAGACATTTTACAGTATTTTATTCTTTTTTAGTCAAGAATACAACATCATTCATTAAAACAATTAATCTGTTTGGCTTGGGGTGAGAGGTTAAGTTTAAATTATGTAGGCTTGATTTATTAGATTATTCATATAGAAAATGCCAAAGATTTTTTTTATTTAGTACAAATTCTCCAACCCAAAATGATTCGAATCTTTAACTTTTGGATTTGATTCGGGTCAACCCGAAGCTTTCAACCCAAGGGCAATCAGGCTGTCGGCTTTTCATTTCCATTCATTTGGCATTCATTAATTCAAGCAATTTGAAACAATGACAGAGATGTTAGATATTTATAGAAATTAGAAAATCTCCTACTTGATTTTCTCCTCATTGATCCGTGCCTGTTCATCTGCCATTTGTTTCCTAATAAGATTCATCTGCTTCTGAATTGCTTCATCCTCCTTTTTATTGTGAAGATTGCGAGCTTTTTCTTCCTAAAATATTGTAAAGATTTATTTACTACAAAATGTGATCTCCTGTTCTCCAATTTGATAGGACTTAAAAGTGTCCCTTTAAGTTAAATGGATCGGAACAGTTTTCTTGCTACATTGATTACTTGTTGTACCTGCACATATGATTATAAATGCATACCTATCAAAACATAACTTTTCAAATGAGATAAAAATGATTTCGATGACATCATTTTTTGCTTGATTATGAAACATACTGATTTTAATACAAAGTTAAAACAGATTCTATTTGCAATACATTTTCAGACTGATGTTCATGTATAACTTCCTAAACCCACTTGTGACAACTTAACTCGCTCTATAACACAGAAGACACACGTAACTGACTTGGCACTTTTACACTTATAAATACAAATGCACTGTCTTGTTACATATCTCCCCTTATCCTCTTTGTAACTCTCCTTCATATATACTCCATTAAAAAGTGTATGGAAACTTACCTTCATTAAAATTTGTTTAGCTTGGAATGTAGCTTCTTTCTTCCTTTTCTTTTCCATTTGCTTCTCTTGTTCAAGTCGAGTTCTTTTCTCTCTGTTCTCTTTCACCTATTTTATCAGAATACAATATGACAGCATAACACTTGGTATATCACAGTACAATATTATGGCAGCAAGACACCTGCCACCTGTCACCTGGTATATAATTAAATAACAGTAACATTGACAAAATCAAATAGCTTCTTGACTACAAAAAACCTGAAGATAACCCCCCCTCCTCCTTGTCAGAGTTTCCAAACATTTATACATATCTACAAATTAATACTAAAATGCAAAATTACAAAAAAGATAGAATAAAATAAGGATCGACTGTCAATAGGCTTCATATTTTCATTGTACATAAATTGTAATAAATGATTTCTTTTTCGTGTAACGCCATACCTGCTTGTGTCTTAATTCCATTTTCATTCTGGGATCCTTGTACTTTTTCTTAGGGTCAGTAAGTCCTAAATCATTTAAGAAATCATCCTTCACAACTTCTTTGTTGAGCATCGCATGCAAGACAGAGTCAACCAGGTCCCCCTCATCAGCTCCCTCGACATCATCATACATATCTGTAGGTAAACAATATAATTTATAGTCAGCTTAGACCCAAATTAACTAGGACCCAAGCAAATAATCTTTTAAATCTTTCTTTGAGAACTATTTAAGTATTGTGAAAAAGTTGATAGAAAAACAGCAACTCAAAAGAGTTGGAAATATCCCTAAAATATTTGGTTACTGACAGTGATGTCCCCAGGATTCTTTCATAGCAGGGATGGGATTTTTTTATCAAGTTTCATTATTAATGTAAATAAATACCCTGTGCCCTCTGTCTGGCAGAGTGCTGCATGTAAAGGTTATCATTGGAGTCCCCAGCTGCCTCTAGCAACTTGTCCCACTCTGACTTGACACTGGTCTTTTTCTCTCCACTATAGAGGTTAACATCATCTGAGTCATCAAGCTGAACTTCTGAATCCATGTTACATTTCTCTTGCATCCATTGACTGAGCAGCTCCTGGGCTGGAAGAAAAAAATGAACAAATATTAAACTTGTCCAGAATGCTTAACAGTTCATGGAACACCTCCAAGAGGATTCATTTGAGGCAATGGTATCTTTCATTGAAACTACTATGAATTGAAAGTGATATTTTTGTTGAATTAAACCACTTTCGCCTTCGACTTTTGGGTTTGAAATTTTGGTCATATTAAGCTTATAATCTGCCGCCAAATGATGGGAGGGGACTTAAGACAGAAACGAGGCACCATTTTGTTAAAGCTGCTACACTTTTTAAGTACATTTTATTCCATGAATTGCCTTAATCTACATGGTGTAAGAGTTGATTGTGTCTTCAATAAAAGGCTCATATAAATTACACAAGTTGTCATTCAATAAATTCACAACAGTTGATTGAATCCTGGGATAAAAACCATGATTATAATATAATGTTCTTAAGGCAAAATACTATATTTGCATGCATAGATATCACAGTATCAGCAAGTTGCTTATATTGTCTGATTAGCTTTACCTTCAGTGTGAATGTCACTTTCTTCATGAACTTGGTTTGCAACTCCTTGGGCTAATTTAGTCCCACTATAACGTGGAACATATGACGTCCCAAATGTTTGTGCTGCTGCCATATTGGAGACATCTTCCACTTTCTTCACCCAATCCTGAATATTGTCATCGGAAGTAACTCTCTGTAATGACCAAAGAAAATAATATAAGCTAGACTGAAAGTGTATATCACATTCCTGCCTATAGCAGGCCCATCACAAATATTGACATCGTTTGATTGCATATTTTTTAGGTTTGATTGGCTCAAACAAGAAAATGCAGTTAACTCCTTGTTGTCAAGATCTCCAAAAAGTTGACTTCGTCTAATCTCGACTTGACCCTAAAACATCAGTTGTTGATCCTTATTTTATTCTGGAAACTGATCCACTAGTTCTTTTATGTACATCAAAAGACCACAGAGAAAAGCGATGAATAAAACTATATTCTTTGTTTTACGAAACGTTTGATTATTTCAGATAAATTAATTTTATGTGCAATAAACCTGTGGCTTCTTGTAATTTTGGAAGTTTCAGCCATATTCATTTTTCTGCAAATGACTTGTCAGAGAAGCAACAACATACCTAACCAAACCCGTCTGGCCCAGTTATCTACTCCTGACGTCGTAGATCTACGATATTTCAGAATCGGGGAGTAGATAACTGGGCCAGACGAGTTTGGTTACAACATACCAAGACGAGACACTTTTTATAAGCCAAACCACAAGCAATCCAAGATATACAAACATTTTGCTCAAAATGTGTATTTTCCATATGATACTGCACTGAAGTCTTTTTAGTCTAGTTATAAACTACATTCTGCCTAGTATTAGACTACTATTTTACAGTTTAGCAGCCCAATCCCTTCCCCATGACAAGTCCCCATGACAGCCCAGTTCATAAATCATTTCAAACCTACGACGCTGACCCTTCCTTAATCAGTCAGCTGGCTGGAAGGAATTGTACCTTACTACTTAATTGTTATAATGTTTTCCTAAAATTGATAACTTTGTGAAGAATTTTTTTTATTTATTCCCACAGGAGGGACATGATGATCGATAGACTGAATACTGTAGATTGGGTTAATTTGGCGCTACTTAATTTGGCGATTTTGCCATTTTAGGCATATTGGCAGCTATTTAATTTGGTGGATATTTCTTTTGAGGACCACTGGCGATATTCACCACGTTTGTACATCTTTGTGAGATCTCCTTTACATTTTGCACCTCGTTCGATGCTGCTACTATACTGCGCTTTTCCTTTCTAGTTTTTCCCTGAGTATTAATCAGTGACTGACCAGTTCTGAGCCAATTTATGAGAGACATTTTTTCATATTTTTGGAAAAAAATTAAACCGCAAGAGACCTAAATACACTGGAAGAAATACCTCAGATAATTCTCGGGGATTCATTCTAAATTTTGGCGAAGATTTATATTGGCGAATTTTTCAATTTCGCCAAATTCGCCAAATTAAAGCGGGCGCCAAATTAACCCAATCTACAAATCTTGATTGATATAGCCTAGACTAGACTAGAGCAAACCCGATCGATAGATCAAGATCTAACATCAAGTAGTTTCACAAAATAAGGTTACCTGACAATTAACAGCCTTATGGGGTTAGGATTGTAGGCTTAGACAATAACTTGAAGGCACATGCTATCTATTGCAAGACTTATGCCTGGCAAAACCGTCACCATGTTATTAAGTGTTTTTAAGTTTCGCAAGAATCCTGCCATGACCGTGGTTTTGTTATCGTGAAAGCCTGGTTTAACCGTGACAATGCTATATTATATTGCAAGGTCTGTCATGACCGTGGTAATGTTAAAGCCTGATATGACTGTGACAATGCTATATTATATTGCAAGGCCTATCATGATCGTGGTAATGTTAAAGTCTTATAAGACTGCGGCAATGGTTGTAAGGCATGTCATGACCGTGGTAATGTTAAAACCTAATATGACCGTGACAATGTTCACGTTCTTGAATAAGATTAGAATTACAGTTTGGGGAAATGAATTTGACTTAAAGTAGTAGTAGTAGTAGTCTGGATTTACATATTTAAGGTAGATAAACGATGACACTTTTCATTACAGTATTCTCATGCTAATAAATGTAATTCAATATAACTATTGTCACGGTCATATTGTGTTTTAATATTACCACAGTCATGACAGGCCTTGAAACCATTGCCACAGTCGTATAAGGCTTTTACGTTACCACGGTCATGACAGGGCTTGCAATATAAAATAGCAATGTCACGGTCATATCAGGCTTCATCATGACCACGATCATGACAGGCCTTGCAATATAGTATAGCAGTCAAGGTCATATCACATTACCACGGTCATGACAGGCCTTGCAATATAATATAGCATTGTCACGGTTATACCAGGTTTTCCCGATAACATTACCACGGTCATGGTAGGATCCACAGACACGGGAACAAGAGTTCATCCCCCTCCCACTCACTATGTATTAGGTAGAAAAAATACATTAGCTATATACTATACAGTGACTGGGGGGGGGGGATTTAAATCTTCCTGGGCCTGTGGTAGGATCCTTGCGAAACTAAAAAACACTAAATTACATGGCGACGGTTGTGCCAGGCTTAAGTCTTGCAACAGATAGGGTCTCCTTGAAAGTTAATATCAACATTGGTCAACTTATCAAATCAAGATTAATCTGAATCTTTATTTATCAATCTCATCTGAAAAAATTCAAATAAAATACAAACCTGTGAACGACTGTAGACTCTAGGTTGTGTGCTTCTTTTCCATTTATAAAGATGAGCATTATTACTAGTCATGACTGTGTTTCTCCGCATACAAAAGAATAACTCTATGGCTCCGTATATAATAGATATCAAACTTTTTATGGACAATTTTGATACTCAAAAAAGATGAGCAACCATTTTGAAACAAACCCCAGAACGAGGCTGAAAGAGAGAAAACGAGAGGTCTCGAGATTTCAATATCTGAGGTGAGTAGCGTCAAAATATTTTGTTATTACATCACATTTTGATACCAAAGTGCAATAAACTGATAATATTTCAAAGTCATATCTGAAGCAATAGCATTTATGTACAATTTGGTAACATTTTCGATTTACATTTGTGCATTAAATACGGAATATTGGGATTAATTTAGAGGCTTCGTTTACAGACACCCCGCCCTTCTTTGTCAAAATGGAATCGCCCCTTGTGTCCAAGTGGATCAATCTATTTCGTAAATAGGGGTGTAGAGTAAATCAGAATTAAAAACTCGTCCAAGGCTTCATTTACTCACTCTCAGTGCTATGCTACAGTATTCAATTTTGTCTGCTGATTTCAATAACTTCAGACGTATTATTATGGCATCTCTTTAGAAATTACAATGGATCTGCGATACAGTAGATCTAATATCATAATGTAAGATGTAAACTTTAAAGTTCAAACATCTTAATTTTTTCATATAGATCTAGATCTACTAGTCTATTAGACTACTGTAGACTTTATCTAGCCTTATCTTGTTCCAGGACCATGCTGATAATATAGTCCTTGAACTAGATAACTCCTAACCGAGTATTGAGGAGTAGGGTTCGTGGGGCTTGTGCGACCCCCTCCCATTCACCCTGAACTCCCCATTCGATATAAAGGGAACACCAGGCTGATAATGTAATCCCCTTTTCTCAAGGATCATCGAACCCAGGCCAGGAATGAACCCCACCTACAGAAAAATGACTATATTTTTGCACGAACAATGAATCGCACATTTATACTAGCTATATTCCATAATTTGATTAGCGCTTGAAACAGTTTCCATCATGCTGTGGCCGGTGCCCGGTAGCAATGACCTTCGATAGCAAGTTGCTTGTACAGTCTCAGCTAGCCCTTATGGCTCAGGGGTAGAGCATCTGACCCGAGAGTGGAAGGTCCTTGGTACGATTCCCATACGATGCATTGAATTTAGCACATTCTCTTTTGAGCCTAGTATCTGTCTCGGTACATAACAGCTCCCTGACGGATGTGCCCAAGGGTTGTTATAGGTTCTTTACACTATCCCCCCTTTGAAAGGACACCATCCTCGTGGTCAGCCCTGCTTTCCCTAGCAGTGACTTTGCACACACACACACACACACAGGCGCTTTGATCCCACATCTGACACCAATTAATGATCCGAGGGTGCCCCAGGAAAATGACTATCCAACGAGCATAGTGTAACAAGCCAGATACAGACATGAAAGAAAATGTGCCACATTTAATGCCCCGTGTGAGAATTGAACCTAAGACCCTTAGATCCAAAGACTGATGCTCTTACTACTGAGCTATGAAGGTTAAAGCCACTACAGCTGGGCTGTGGAAGTAACTTGCTATCCAGGGTCACAAAACAAACCCCACAAGGGGTGAAAAGATAGAACCCCTTATCCTTGCTACGCTTGTTTGATATTTTATTGAAGCCAGATTTTTCAAAAGCATACTACAATTTTTAGTGACTTGGTAAAAGCTATAGCTTCACCTCTGATGATGTTTGATATTTATTGAAGTCTGATTTTTCATGACCATTCTACAATTTTTTATATGACAACAAAAAAAGAACAGTATTCAGACTTTTTATTTGAAAAAGTCTGCTTTTTTCTAAATATTCCCTATTCATATGATGATGGATATTTTGAAGTCTGATTTTTCAGGAGTGCACAATGGTTTTTAGTGACTACAATTTTCAATTACATATTGTACCTTTATTTTGTATTTTGCATTTTTTGCAGTATGGAGCCAAATGAACAGCCATCTCAGTCTGGGTGGCCTCCCCACAATCAACATGGCCAGCCCAATCAGAATGAGTACAGTATCCAACATCCTCAACCAGTGCATCATGCCAGTCCCCAGCAGGGTCACCAACAACCAGAGCCATCTATACCAAATGTATTCAACTTTCAAGTGAATCAACAAATCCACAATGTAACCCTTCAGCAGTTGGCAGGTATTAATCCTAAAATGCAGTGTCGTTGTATCAGAGGTTTTCATAGGCCCACCCATTATTGTCTCACTGAACAAAGTTTGTGAGATTTAGAGGACTTGTCAGCTAGTTTGGGAACGGGCAGGGCCCATATAAGGAACACTTTAATGTTACCAAAGTAACTGTGTACTGAAGGCTATACCTCCACTTCTTGAAGGCTAGGTTCAATTTGTTTAAGATGAAAATTGATGAAAGAGTTTTTACAATGCCATCATTCAAAATAGATTTGCTACCTTCAATGGAATTTTAAGAAAAATTAGAGTGTTCAGAAAAATATTCATAAACTGAAAGTTTATGATAGCTATACTCCATCTGTTGTCACTAAAGTGGTAGCTTCACATTTCTCATTGATTGCATATTTCTTCATCATTGTGTGTCACTTCTTTGTAGCTATTGAGCAACACCACTATGACCCAGGACCATCCCAATCCAACAGTGAACATATCTACCAAGCAGTGCACTCAACATTCAATGGCTCATCTCCTGCTAATTCATTCTCAGTTGGTATGGGCTCATTGGGCTCTAATGAGCTGCAGCTACACCATGGGGAGGCAGCAGGGACTTCAGATCATAGCACATCAGGCAACGTACAGTCGTCAGGCATAGATGGATCTTTCGTTTCACAGTCAAAGGTTTGTTCAATTATTGTTGTTATTGCTATTTTGTTTTCTACAACAAATCTCTGCTGCAATCATAATGTTAAATATTTTCAATGTCCATTTTGTATTTAGCTCACATATTTGCAATTCATCTAAACATCTAAGTTAATCCTATTTTATGGGGGTCTATGCTGGTAAATTCATTAATCATTGGTGTCTGATCTTACTTTTGTCTTGTCCTTTACCCATGCTGAATGTTGAAATCGCATAATCAATGCAGACAATTAAAATGACTAATCAACTAAGAGTCCCGTTTACATGCACTTCACCTTTCCTTAATGCTGTGTGATATCAACAATGTTCCATGTGTTTAACTACATTTATTCATTTTCCAGAGTTCACCCCGTGTTTCTCACATTGACTCTTCCAACAGTCACCAGAGGTCACTAGCTGTTTTAAGTTCCGCATCAGCAAGTAATGCCCTATCCATGGCATCCTATTTAGCAGATCGTGAGCCATCCACGTCAGAAGCAACACCTTTGATGAAGACTATTCATGATGATGATGATGACGATGAGAATCAGGAACCTGTGTCTAGCCTCAATTTGGACTTACCGACACACAATGTTCCACAGGTAGGAATTGTCATTTCATCATGGGATAAAGGTTGGTCAGCATGACTTGCTAATACACTACTTGACATTAGAATATTGGAAACAGAATAAGGTCAAGCCTTTTCGAGATGCGACTTGACTTAACATATGTTTGACGTGATTTTATTGAATTTGGACAATTTAGACATGTTACAGTAAATAGGCTGTCAAGTTGTCAACAATGGATGATGCAATTTAGCAGACAAATTGATTACAGTCATTAAAAGGAATTTGCATAAACTTTTGAGATTTGATTCATGATGCAATATTGTAATCCAATGAAAATGAGTCATCATTTAGAACTACATGTAGTTCTTAATGCTTTGTGTGAACATAATTTATTTGTTGGGATCTGTTGTAGAGTTTTCTGAATGAATGCTTGATAAGCATTGAATAAGTAAAATAAAAAATAAAAATGAGGGCATTTTATTCATACACTTACCAATCACCTTATACAATGATTAATTTTTGCAGGAACCCCAGATCATGTTGGAAACCTACCAGGATAACTGTGATTCAAATGAACCAGACACAACTGGAGAACATCTCCCAGCTCACTTTTCACAACAAGGTAGTAGCCACTTCAGTGTTTCGGGTTCTTAACTCTAAGTAGGCCTTTAAGATTTTAAATCTGAATGGTATTCATGCAAAACAGAAAGAAACAGCAATGGTATATACATGTATTTTGTCATGATCACCTATAAATACTTATAAACAGGTCATTTAAACCCAGATTCCTTGATTTAAAGCTGCACCTTTTTTCAGTCAAACTCATTCCTTATATGAACTAGCAGTTAAAATTGATACAATGCCTAACTTGTTTTACCATAACATGGGCTTATTCAATTAGTGATGAATTTCCCCAAAAAATCATATCATGAAAACATTAAAGCTGTTGATTTGTTGAATTTTCTTGCCAAAAGTATTACAATCCCACCCCACATTTTCCCCCACAAACTTTTCGTGATAACATGTTTCTTAGCTTTTATTCACATTAAAGCTTTTAGACTTTTAGCTTTTATTCATGATCATTCATCATTGATTTATCAAGTTTCACAATGAAAGCATCTAGATTCAAGTAAGCATTTTATACTATAAATAATATCTAGTTGTATAGTGTATATATAGTATATACATGTAGCACTATAGTGATCTATGGAATATAGATTATTCTTGTTAACTAATCATACTTTTTCTTCCAGATATGGAGGCTGAGTCTATTAGCTGTTTCCCTGCAACGGGTGTAGCTGACAGCAACCATCATGGTGGGTCAGTGTCTACAGTAGAGCTAAATATGGGACAGACTGTTGGAGAAGGAAGGCTGATAGCTTCTGGCTCATTGCAAGAGGCAGAGCTTATGTTGCCTCAGCCAGGCCCCCATGTGGATAGCACACCCAACACCAGTGAACCAGAATCTGCTTTGTTACCAAGTTAGTTAACCTGTGAAAAATATATCACTTTTAGAAACATACATGTACAGTACTTCAGGATGAAATGTAAAATGATTCAATGTTTGAACAACTATGGTGACTGGGAAAGTATATATTTGAATTTATTCATTGCTACTCCTTGGAGTTGATGTTGCGTTGAATATGTTAAATGGATCCATTAAACCATCTAAAACTGTAAAAGATCAATGTGGTGAATGATATACTTAATTGCAATGTTATATTTTTAGGAAAGCGTAAGGGCAAGTTTATATCATCCATGATGCAGGTTCAGCCTTCTACTTCTGATCAATCCAACAAGAAAATCACAGATGATCAGGATAAAGAGAACAGAAAGAAGCGACATTACACTAGAAAGTCAGCCAGACTAACTGCAGAGCAAAAAGCTGAGATGATTGAATATGTGAGCAGGCCATATAATGTCAATGAGCTTTGTAAGTATGGTTTTACTTCATTTTGAAAAAATGGTGGGCATTTTTATATGTGTAATTTTGCATTTTTGCCATAACTCCAAAATTTTATAATGTTTTATTTATGAAAATAGTGATTGAAGCAAAACCTTTTATATAATGTCAACATATTTCCCATTAGACCAGTCTCTATTATTTAATGGCACCCAATACTTTTTGAAAAGTTCATTATTCTTGGATATGCCATATCTCCCGATCTCCATATTGCAGTATTCTGTTACTATGGTATAATGCACCTTTAGGCATTTTACTTTATTTAACTTTGATTGTCCTAGGGTGTGATGACTGTATGAGGAGCTATAAGGATGGCTGCCCCACACACTCACTGCAGCTGGTTTATGACAAGGTAGTTCTCTCAAGGGCATGGTCCAGCTTGCCTCCAATGTTACTCATATTTAGACTGGCCTCCACTGCAGGTGAGATAGAAACTCAATGTTTTCATAAAGTGGGACTAACATGGTTCATTTAGATTTTAAACAATACATTGACAGAGATCGTTTTATTCTTCAGAGACTCTGAAAACTCCATACCATTATATAGATTTGATCTATCAGTCAATACAACTCACACATTAAGATTGATACCAAATTAAATTTTGTCTAATATTTTGAATTATTTGTTACATGCTATTTGTTTTTTCAATTCAACATCTGTGTTAATGTTGCTGTCCAACTATGTCCTTGTATAATTGAACATGTACAAGTATATGATGCCATAATTAAGAATAAGTGTCACTTATCTATTAAATGCTTTTTCAGAACTGGGTGTATTTGCAAAGCGGGACATTGCCAAACGAACTCAATTTGGTCCATTTTGTTCTGATATTGTCCCATCCAAGGAGCAGCTTACCAACCCCAACAACCTTTTACTTATGGTGAGTTTTATCTCATTAATGTAAAATTAAGATATCTGAAATTAAGGTCTAGTCAACATGACTTCCAGACTATTTACCCAGCCTACCAAAAAGTCAAGTTACCATATTAATCATTATTTTTCACCAATCAAATTAGAGATTAATGTCCTTTGGCAGGTTGAATGTCATATTGTGGAAATCATTGGGAATCCTGGTCTCCTTATTAGGTCATAAAATTCACTTGTTGTCTTCTTAAGGTTGTTTCTTATACCCTGTCAACACATTGGCTCACCAATGCACCAATCATAATGTTATCAGTGCCATACATGTGTAATGTATGTTTATGTGTGTATCTGCAGGTTGACAGAGAGGATGGCTCTTCTGTGTTTTATGATGCTGTGGATGAGAACAAATGCAACTGGATGATGTTTGTAAGACCAGCAAAGACATATGCAGAACAGAATGTGGTTGCATACCAGCATGGCACTGACATATACTTCTCTGCCATTAAACACATCCCTTCAAGAGAAGAACTGAAAGTAAGGATACATTATAATGAGAGATTGTCTAGTACGAGTGTTTGAGTGCAATCTGAGTATACCGGTTTTTTGCCCTTGTAACCCCCTTCTCCCTTTATACGGTAGATGGGGGTAGGATCTAGAGTCAGATTACCCCCTACAATTTTGACAACAGAAAATGTCCAATTGGTTGCATTTTAACCTAAATGTCCCATTGTAAGATACATATGTGGTCACATTTTAGAATTGAAGAACAAGTATATAGCCAGGCTAGGTGAAACACACTTGATTTTTACTGCAGTTATAACTATGGTCATATATGAAAACAGAAAGGTGACTGTGTTATACTCCTTATTGATGTAACACTTGCAAAGACTTGGCTTCATTAAATCATGAAAACTGTTGTAGGTTTGGTATGCACCACATTATGCTGAGAGGCTTGGAATAAAGACACATGAAATCACAGAAGCAGATAGACAAGGTGAGGAAATGTAGAAAAATGTTTGTGTAAAGGATTATGTTGAATCTCCTGTCAATAGACATTTCACTCTCTTACAGAGGACCCTTTTGAAACATGTGTTGAGAGCCTACCATAGATGTAGGGGTAAAAATAGGTGATCTAGACAGGAGACATTTTTCAATAGTTCCACAAATGATACTTTGGTGTTCAAAGTTATACTTCAGTAATGATGGCTTGTTATTAATTTATTTATTATAATGAAAATATACATACATACTATGGCAATACAGTATAGTAAATTACAGAAACAGAATATTATGTGACATCATAGCTTGAAACTATTAATTTTCTGCGATTTTGTCTCTCGTTCATATATTCAATCTTCATTCTATATGACGCCATACCACAAGTCTAAAAATATCTTAATGCACATCTACATGTACATACATATATGTGAATGTCAACATATTAAGAAAATGTTTTTGTGTCTTAATGTTTTCAGCCTTAAAAGAAGATGAAAAGTGGCAATGTTTTGAGTGCACTAAGAAGTTCCAGAGTTCTGGTCAGCTAATGGCCCACCTTGCTGAACATGAAGACACGGACATACTTTCAGGTAACTTGCGATAACTGAACACAGGTGTCCCAATTTTGAAATGTGCAATAAGGTCTCCATTTACAAAGGAAGTAATATTTTGTAGAATCATATGATTTTAAATTTAAACCAAAGTTTTGGCTATTCCTAAACAGCTTTTTGTTTGTCATTTTTCGATAATGAGTTTTGGATGAGTTTTGGTTACTGCTGTGGTTAGGGAATTACATACATAGATATACATGTATTTAATTGAAATAATCAAAGATTCGCAATCCATAGTATAAGTAATCATGGTAATTATTAGAGCCAATGATCCACAAACTATTTGTGATGTTCATTCTGGTTAAATACAAATATGTGAAAACTTGATTCAGTATGTTCCACTGTGAGGAATGTTTTTCAAAAATCTCTGGGAGACCTTCTTTGAAAAACATACTTTATTAATTCAAGAGTTTGTAAGTAAATGTAGCAGATTGAAATAATAGTTACAACAGTGGCAATTACAGATTATAAATACTTGTTATGTTGATTATCTTATTTTAGATGATGATAATGATCCTGATGTGACAGAGGACAGTTTAGCAGTCTCTGGTAACCATAGCAATAGATCCTCCAAAGATGCCAGTGAAGGGGAAAGCAATAATAAAGCCTCAGACTCTGACATGGTATGTTACACACATATAGTGCCTTTTCATTGCTGTCATATCTCTGCACTTCTCATATGTAGATGTGTTCTTTACATTCTCATTATTCCTAATTCTTCAAATATATTTTAATACTCGTTTGACTTAACGGATGATTCTTCGATCCCTGGCTTTCAATCAATGTCATTTCAACGTATAGTTACTTTATTATTGGATATTATTGAATGTTGTTAAGAATGTGTTCTGTTGCTTTTATCACTCTACTCTCTTGTTACTTTTTGTTGACACAGATTATGTAGTAAATGATAGCAAACAATGTTGATACGGTATATGTCTGGGACCCTCAGGCTTGAAAGTTTACTTGAATTATAACTCAAACTTACGAGTTAGACTAGTCATGAGTTACTGAATTCATCTCATTGCTAGTATGTTGAATTTATTTCTTGGTAATTTGATTACATCTTTTCATGATAGGGTGTAGATAATGGTGTAAAGGAGACAAGTAGCACAACCTTCCAGTCTTGGAAGAAGAAGAAGACAAGCATCTATCTGAACAGGCAGATAAAAAGGGCCAGAGCTAATACTGTTGTAAAACGTTCTATTAAATCTCTCTACAAGAAACGCGAGGCACAGGAGTCTGGCGTAAATGAATGGGTAAGTATTGAGTGCTAGCTTATTCCACTATAAGCTAAATCTGAAAAATCTTATCTTTCTAGAAAATCATTCATTAAGTGTTCATCTTAAAAAGTAATATGCCTAAATAAGATTCTGCTTTTAATGGCTGTAGATACAAGATATCCATATGTAATGTGAATGAATCTGTTTTTCACGCCTTTTATAAATAGCAGAAATTTGCATAACTAATGTGAATGCATCTTTTTTCATGCCTATTTATAAGTGTAATTATGTTCTCTTTCAGTTGTGCACGCATTGTGATCTGACGTTTGACAACTCCAGCCTGCTGAATCTTCACACTCTCACCCATGCTGCTGAAGATGTAGGTTACCAGGAATCTAAACAGTATGATCTTATGGATCATGAGACACCTGCAGGAATGGAGGTTACCATGGAGACAAGTGAAAGTGAGGCTGGTGGGGAGAGTAATGTTGTTGTTCTTGTGGCTAGTGGACTGCAGTGCCCAGTGTGCCATAGTGTCTTTGAGAGCAAACGTCATCTTGTTGACCATGTTAGCACACATGCCAAAGCCAAGCCTCGTAACGTTGATCCCAAGAAACCATTCTCTTGTTTAAAATGTACTAAGTCATTCAATTCAAATGAACGGCTAATAAAGCACCAAGGATGTCATGTGAGTGATGAGGCTAAGCCACTTCAATGTGAACATTGTAAGAAACGTTTTGTAAACAATTCTGCTCTCTCCTGTCACCTGAAGACTCATAGCAATAAGAAATATTATGAGTGTCCATTATGCTATGAAGGATTTGACACAAATGCCCTTATGAGGAGTCATGGAGAAGCTGTTCATTGTATGCCAGATGGGAGCTACTATTGTCAGGAGTGTCCTAAATCCTTCAGAATGTTTGATCTCATCAAGAAACATGCAAGAGTGTTTCATCCACGGAAACAATACGCTTGTCCAGAATGCCAGAAACTGTTCCCAAGGACTGACAAGCTACGGCTGCACATGTTGCGTCACTCTAATCATAGAGAGTTCATGTGTGATCTCTGTGGTCGGCAGTTCAAGCGCAAGGATAAGCTGAAGGAACATGTTGCTAGACTCCATGTCAATGGAGCTCTCTTACCTCCAAAGATTGCTGTTGGAGATAAAGCATTTCAAAAGAAGAAGTTTGAGCCACAAGTTCTGCCCTCTGAGTTCGAGAGATTTGTTTACAAGTGCCATACATGTCTGTTAGGATTCAAAAGGCGAGGAATGCTGGTGAACCATATGGCAAAAAGACACCCTGATACCAAACTTGAGACAGTCCCTGAACTCAACTTGCCCATACTTAAAGCCCAGAAAGACTTCTTCTGTCAGTATTGTGAAAAGGTGTATAAATCTAGCTCCAAGCGCAAGGCTCATATTATCAAAAACCACCCTGGGGCAGAATTACCATTGATGGGTCGCACAAGGAAGGAAGATGAAACAGAGGATGGAGTCTCTAACCGTACCTTCTCCCAGACAGTAGGAAGCGTCACAACTGTGCCTCACCCCTGTGAACTTTGTCATAAGCAATATGCCAGCAGAGCTAAGCTGAATCAGCACCAAAGGATGCACCATATGGGCAATGCACCTGCTGTATCACCTCGTAAGATAGCACCACCACCTCAAACCCAGGTGGTATCTTCAGAACAAAATGGCCAATTGCAACAATCACATGCAATCACTCTGACCAACCAAGGATTCGTGGATCTGAACCAGCTCCAGAATGCAGAAATTATAGTTCAGCTCCAACAGCCTAATTCAGATGCCACTCCCATCCAGGCAGCTGACTTGCTGACCCAAGCTATGAGTGAAATCACACAGTCTCTCAGTGACTACAAACCACAGGTCGTAGGAGTGAATGGTCAAGCTGCAGAGTTCCATATAAGTCCTCGTATTGCCCCAGCCCCTGGACCAAGTCAAAGTAGCAACAATGGCCAGCAAATCCAGGTTCAGACTGGAGCTCCAGGGCAGCAGCAGCAGTCTACCATTGATATATCTCAGCTAGGCCAGGTTCAGTTCCAGCAACAACAGCTGCCTTCACATTTGGCCCAAATTGTGCAGGGTGTGGCAGCTGCAGGAGGTCAGGCTGCAGGTCAGGTGGTACAGGTGTCTTCAAGTGAGGTAGAGGGTGTTCCTGTCACTGTGGAGGCAACGCTGGGGCAGAATGGAGTCACATATGTAGTAGGGGGGCAGAGGGTGTGGACAAACTTTAACCAAAATGTTAGGCAATAGAAACTATTTCTCAATTTACCAATACTCTTATGACTCATGGCTTTCTGCATTTAATGCCTGTGCCATTGAGGTTGCAAACAGTGATTTTTCCAAAAATATTGACACTGTTTAAGTTACATCATTACATAAGAGAGAGTAAAACCTACTTTAATGATGTTTTATTGCCATGTTAATGTCAAGGAGGATTGGCTCCAGAGTGCAACATTGCCATATTTTCATATGGACATGTTGTGATTCAAAAATTCAAATTCAAACAACTGTGATTTAATTTACTTCAACATTTGAATCTTGAATTTTATTTCCAAATGAAAAACTCCAAAACAAATGATTGAGATATTGGTTCGAATCTTTTGGACTGTTTATTTTGAATTTATCGTCGGTTATAATTTCAGAAAATATCGACGTTTTGACGTTTTCATGGTTGTAAAAGATTGAGTTGCGATCCTGGGAGCCAATCCTCATTGTTAATATAAAAGTATTACATAAGCCGTTGCCATGGTAACAGATATATGGTAAATCTGTTTAGAGGATTTCACTGTTTTTCGTTCATTTTGACGTGTTTTGTGCAATTTTAAAGTGAGATATAAGTCTTGTCTGCACTGTGTTATTTCACGTAAAGAGACATGGACCGTTAATCTTTAAGGCCCTAGGCTATATTCTTGTAACATTCTTTGGTATGAATATACATAATTCCATTGATGTAACCATGGAAATCATGATGTCATAGTTGAGGAATGACCTACTTATTAATTCATAAAATTAAGGATGCTTTTTATATGGAAGTGCATCCCAGTCAAAGAAATGAGTTGTATCAATGTTTATATGTATCTACAAACATATACTAGTAGGTACATTTTGGGGCAATTGAAAAAAGCACTGTTAATCTTTTAGAGTGCATTATATTTATTTTACTTCCACAAGTGGTGACATATTATGTTATAGTCTCCAACTTTTTTGTGGACAGTGTAACATAAAATATAGGGATAAGCAATATGATGTAGATTTTCTTTATTAATTTTGTGAAGACTTGTGAAGTCAAATACTTTTTTTGTGGAGACAATCTATTAGTGAAATAAATCCTGTTTTTGGACATTGGAATGTTGATCTGGTCCCTTACATATAATTTTAAGGAGAATAGGCATATGTACAGCCCTTACATATATTTATATGTAAGAAATCATCTTATTATTTGTTAATTTTCAACACATTGTAAGATCATAGATTCATGTCATTATTTATGTTGCTAATTATAATGGAACAAGTTTTGTAATATTGTTTTATTTTTTGGAATATTTTATTCACTTCAATAACTTTACAATTACATGAACATATTTTAAATATAGATGTAGCTGTAGGGATTGGATTGGATTGGAAACCAGACTTCCTCTCCAAGTAAAATAATTTATTTGTAAAGTATCATTTTATTATATAATAAGTATAATGTACAAAGTAGATCTAGTGTGCTATGATAAACTGTGTATTTTTTAAACAGTGTTAATTCTTTTCTTGTAATTTTTGCTCCATGGTGAGCCTGTGGAAAGGCCCATTTATCCATTTTCTCTTCACTACTTTGGAAGGAAATACCAATATGGCCACCAAATTCAAAATGGCCACCATTGGTACAAAATTTATAGACTGATGCAGTAAGGACAGATGGACTATTGGGCAATACCACAGGCTTACCATCATATGAGCCAAGAAAATCAGTGTGCCAAAAACCTATAGGGTGTCTAGAAGGAATAGGTGCAACAAATGCCCCATTTTAAGACAAATATCAAATGTGTGGGAAAGTTCTGGCTGTCAGGCCAGGGGCATAATGTCGCTCCTAAATCATATGGTCATCCTTTTATTTCAGATTTCAAAACTTTATTATGTTATCAATACATATATAAATATGATTCTAATGTGATTAATATGATAAATGACCTCACAATAATTAGAATACAAATACAAATTGTATTTCTGTTTTGTTCATACAAATTGTATTTCTGTTTTGTTCATACAAATTGTATTTCTGTTTTGTTCATACAAATTGTATTTCTGTTTGTTCATCATATTAGAATCATAACAAAGACTTCGATTCTATGATTTGTGACAAACTACATATGACCAATCTGCCATTTGCCGAAGAACTGTATCTCTCTGCTCTGCAATTTTGTCTTTCAAAGATCAGAAAAAATCATTGGTCATATATTACACCATATTCATAGAATCTTGGTCTTATTCCTTAAATATAGAAATTATGCTAATAATCAGTGCATGTAATTAGTGATTACAAATATAGTCTAGGATAGTTTTATATTATATTCAGTAATACACATGGAAATTATTTTGGTAATCAAACAACATGCAGTCTCCTGATCCCTAACATTAGACTAGATCAGGTGGAAATATTATTATTGTTTTGCATTAATTTTCAAAATTTAGTCAGAGTGATATATTTGAAATCTACAAACAAAATCAAAAATATAACTTTCTTTGTAAATGTTATCTGCTTCACATTGTAATTTATGTGAATGCTATATATTTGAGATCTGAACAATAAAGTTACTTAAATCTACAATTATGGTAAGGTTTTTAATGAGATGAGTGTGGCTGACAGTTCTCAATTTTCTTGAAATATTTGAATGATTCAGTTGAGTAATTTTCAATTCAATTCAATTCAGTTCCAAAAACTTTTGTGTGCCTATCATTCCATCCAATTCAAAGTTGTTCTCTTTTGTCCAGTCTCCAATAATGATACACATTTTCATATACATTTCTCAATAGAAACATATTTCCATGCCAATGACATATAGGAACTCTTCAAGTTCATGACATGGTCACCGTGAATGTTTTTAAAAAATGTAAAATGCAATAATGAATTAGCCTGCACACCCCCATCTGCCCATGAACCTCTGGTTAATCACATGTCTAACATGTTAAAACTTTGTTATAAAAGTAATAAAATACAAAATGGTATTTTGCTAAACAAGGAGAAAAAACAGATTGTAAAGCTTGGTATTATATGGCTTTGTATAAAAAACCTCCTACCTCATACCCACCTACGTGGAACATGATACAGTCATTGAAGAGTTCAATTTTAAAGATTATTTAATCTCAAAATAGCTCAAATTATTAACATTTCTACAATTCTGGCTTTATTTTATGACTAGACAGATGACATAAATAAAGGCATATGGATGCATTTTAATATGTAATGACCCGAGGGCGCCCCAGGGGAATAAATAACTAACGACCGTGAGCATAGGTCCAACAAGCCAGATAGAGAAATTGAAAGAAAGTGTGCTAAATTCAATGCCCCGAGTGGGAATCGAATCCAGCTGGGATGTAGTAGCAACTTAGGGTCGTAGCTATCAAGGGTCGTTACAAATGCATCTATAATTCATTATAAACTAAGATTTAATAAACTACATGTAAGATCTTTAAAATTGAACCCTTCAAAGACTGTATCATGTCCTACCTACGTTGGTAAGGTGGGTATGAGGAAGGAGGTTTTTTATACAAAGCCGTATGATATAAACACCTTATCCAAGTGATCCATTCCGTGGCATGAATGGCACTGACCTTCTCAGGTTGTATATAACTAAAATACCCATATAGCCAACAAGTGAAATCGGTTCCAAGAATCAAGGTTTTAAAAAGTTTTCAACTTTTCTATTTTTCATTGTTTTGGCAAATATTAACAAAGGAGGTTACTTCATGAGGCGTTTTAACTCTTCTATCCACAGGTATACGATTGTTTCCTTTACAAAGTACAATCAGTTCACTGAGACTGTATGCTTTTAAGTATCACACACAAAGCTAGCTTTGAAACATTATCTTAATTTCCATAGGACAAGGTCCCTATTCTTATTGAAATGATCAATTGTATTCCATAATAGTAATGTCAACAAACTCAGTGCCACGGAATGGATCACTTGGATAAAGTGTTAAATGTTAATATAATACCAAGCTTTACAACCATTGATCATTTTACATTGACAATTCGTTTGACAATTTGAGCTTTTTTATGTATACTTTGTGAACATAATAACTTAAGAACTTCTTCTTTCACCCTAGATCTGTCTCATACCCTGTTCATATTTTGTAGAATTCTCACTCTGTTTTACAATTTATAAATAAATACAAAATTTAAATAAATGTTACATTCATTGTTAAAAAGTGTTATTGGGACCATTCAAAGTGAATTATATATTTAACATCCTGACGAAGGGCCTAACATTAATAATTAAACTTTGAATAGCCTGAACTCTTCTTGCAATCAATAATATTTATAATCAATAACATTATATACAGGTACTTAGACCTAACTGAGATTCATAGATCTATCTATTCAATAATCACAAATTCAAGATTTAATTTATCATTTCAAAGGTTTTATAGCAAATGCTCCTACATGTAATTATATAAATACTGTAAGTAAATTGTTCAAATACTTTTGGAAAATAGGAATCTACAGGAACTTTAACTCTTGTAGAATGACATAATTGATATCATGAAGTCCTGATAAATGAAAAAATATTTTGGGGTAGGCTATATGGAAATTACCAGCCAGGTGAATATGTCGTTCTACAAGGTTTAAAGCTTAAATCTGAGAGAAAAGGTGCAGCCAACATCTAAAGCAATCTGTGCACTTGTATTTGAGTATTACTCAAACATATGAATGTGTGGAGGAACATTATCCCTAATAATATTATTAATGAACACTCTAAATAACTAATAATTTAAGATGAATTTATAATACTGAATTTTGTTTGTTGTGACTCTAGTCCATTCATGTATCAGAAACACCCTGTATAATTAAGAAACACCCTGTATCATAGTATCCAGAGACTTAATTTTAATATGTACAAAGCATACCATTCACAAGAGTCTCAATCAGTTCAATAAATATTGTAAAAAAGAAATTGACTCCAACATGGATGTCAAAGGATGTTTAAGGAGCTACATCAGGAGTAGTTGAACCTATCATTCCATTGTGGTTGCGACTTAGTATTTGACGAAGAGCTGGCGGACTTGCGGGATGTTGGAGCAGATCCTGGTCCAGATTTAGATGTGCCTGACAAAACTCTAGTGGAACGCTTCTGAAAATAAATCATTCATGTGTTATGTATAGAAACATTTGAAAGGAACCTTTGATTGCAAATGGTACCGGTAATGGTAGATAAAGTTGAAAACATTCTTACAATTTAAAACAATCATGTCTACACTCTCAAACAGGATTAGTCAACAATACTACAATAAGTCAGTCATTCATCAAACCACATCATATAACTATCAGGCAATATCAGTCTACCATCAAAAAGGGCATGCAATAATACTATCAGTGCACAATCAGGCAATATCAGTCTACCATCAAAAAGGGCATGCAATAATACTATCAGTGCACAATCAGGCAATATCAGTCTACCATCAAAAAGGGCATGCAATAATACTATCAGTGCACAATCAGGCAATATCAGTCTACCATCAAAAAGGGCATGCAATAATACTATCAGTGCACAATCAGGCAATATCAGTCTACCATCAAAAAGGGCATGCAATAATACTATCAGTGCACAATCAGGCAATATCAGTCTACCATCAAAAAGGGCATGCAATAATACTATCAGTGCACAATCAGGCAATATCAGTCTACCATCAAAAAGGGCATGCAATAATACTATCAGTGCACAATCAGGCAATATCAGTCTACCATCAAAAAGGGCATGCAATAATACTATCAGTGCACAATCAGGCAATATCAGTCTACCATCAAAAAGGGCATGCAATAATACTATCAGTGCACAATCAGGCAATATCAGTCTACCATCAAAAAGGGCATGCAATAATACTATCAGTGCACAATCAGGCAATATCAGTCTACCATCAAAAAGGGCATGCAATAATACTATCAGTGCACAATCAGGCAATATCAGTCTACCATCAAAAAGGGCATGCAATAATACTATCAGTGCACAATCGGGCAATATCAGTCTACCATCAAAAAGGGCAATACAGCGCAATCTACAGCCAAGCAAAACCATACTGCTATCAGAAAAAGGGCATGCAATAATACTATCCATATACAATCAGACAATATCAGTCTTACAACAAAAGGCAATACTACTTTCAGTCTACAATTAAGCAAGACCATACTCCTGACAGACAATATCAGTCTACCATCAAAAGGCAATACTACTTTCAGTCTACAATCAAGCAACACCATACTGCTGACAGACGTCAGACAATATCAGTCTACCATCAAAAGGCAATACTACTTTCAGTCTACAATTAAGCAAGACCATACTGCTGACAGACAATATCAGTCTACCATCAAAAGGCAATACTACTTTCAGTCTACAACTAGATAACGGCAACTCCGCGGAGTAGCAAATCCCAACGAACAAAATATCAATTACCGAATTCCAATCAATTATACTCATTACTTTGGTTAAAATTGAAAAAATTAGATTTTAGAATTGTGAATTCCTGGAAAGCAGCCATTTTGAATTTTCTGAGATACAAATCTGAAAAATAATACCATAATTGTGATCTACTCCAAAATTCCTTCAATTTGAGTATAATATAGCCATACTTTGAAGGGATCGAAAAATTATTGCGAAATCGTACATAAGATGGCCATTTTGAATTTTACGAGACTCGAATCAGAAAAAAGATACAATATTTGCAATCTACTCTTAATTGCCTTTCATTTGAGTATAATAAAGCTATACTTCAGAAAGATCTAAAAATGAGCGAAAATTTCTGTTTTCCTGTCCCCCCCATACACGGCCCCTGGGGGTCAGGATGGAAAACACGGAATATATGTGAAATAAATAAATGTTGTGAATATACTTTCAAAATTTCAAACAATAATATTAACTACTTTGGTTTAGAATGTAAAATTTATGATTTTTGCGAAAAAGTCCCGTCATTTTTAAAGCGGCGGCCATCTTGGAAAAATTTTTTTTGCGTAAAATTATTCACCAATATACATCTTTCCACTAAATATGAAGAAAATCCATTTACTAGTATTTGAGTTATCTTCCGGACAGACGGACGGACTGACTGACTGACTGACTGACTGACTGACTGACTGACTGACTGACTGACTGACGGACAGACGGACGGAGGACTTCACTATATCCCTACCGAACTTCATTCGTTGGGATAATTAAGCAACACCATACTGCTGACAGACAATATCAGTCTACCATCAAAAGGCAATACTACTTTCAGTCTACAATTAAGCAACACCATACTGCTGACAGACAATATCAGTCTACCATCAAAAGGCAATACTACTTTCAGTCTACAATTAAGTAAGACCATACTGCTATTAGACAATATCAGTAATACTACTTTCAGTCTACAATTAAGCAAGACCATACTGCTATCAGACAATATCAGTCTACCATCGAAAGGCAATACTACTTTCAGTCTACAATTAAGCAACACCATACTGCTGACAGACAATATCAGTCTACCATCAAAAGGCAATACTACTTTCAGTCTACAATTAAGCAAGACCATACTGCTATTAGACAATATCAGTAATACTACTTTCAGTCTACAATTAAGCAAGACCATACTGCTATCAGACAATATCAGTCTACCATCGAAAGGCAATACTACTTTCAGTCTACAATTAAGCAAGACCGTACTGCTATCAGACAATATCAGATACCATCACACTGGCAGATCTGGCCTGGGGACCCGGGCCCCCACCTTGGGTGGGCCCAGAAAAAAAAATTGGACCCAAAAAAATGTTGGGCCAAAAAAGGCCTTAAGGCCTCAAAAAGTGGGCCTTTTTGGTCATTACTGGGCCTTTAACTGGTTTTTTTCTCTAACCTAAAATTTGCCCCCCCCCCCCTTATTGGTTCCCAGATCCGCCCTGCATCAAAAGGCAATAGTACTTTCAGTCTACAATTAAGCAAAAACATACTGCTATCAGACAATATCAGTCTACCATCAAAAGACAATACTACTTTCAGTCTACAATTAAGCAACACCATACTGCTATCAGACAATATCAGTCTACAATCAAAAGGCAATACTACTTTCAGTCTACAATCAAGCAACACCATACTGCTGACAGACAACATCAGTCTACAATCAAAAGGCAATACTACTTTCAGTCTACAATTAAGCAACACTATACTGCTATCAGACAATATCAGTCTACAACCAAAAGGCAATACTACTTTCAGTCTACAATTAAGCAACACCATACTGTTGACATACAGCATCAGTCTACAATCAAAAGGCAATACTACTATCAATCTACAATCAAGGAAGACCATATTTCTATCATATGGTATCAGTCTGCCATCAAACAAAATTAAAACTAGATAACGGCAACTCCGCGGAGTAGCAAATCCCAACGAACAAAATATCAATTAAAGAATTCCAATCAATTATACTCATTACTTTGGTTAAAATTGAAAAAATTTGATTTTAGAATTGTGAATTCCTGCAAAGCAGCCATTTTGAATTTTCTGAGGTACAAATCTGAAAAATAATACCATAATTGTGATCTACTCCAAAAATCCTTCAATTTGAGTATAATATAGCCATACTTTGAAGGGATCCAAAAATTATTGCGAAATCGTACATTAGACGGCCATTTTGAATTTTACGAGGCTCGAATCAGAAAAAAGATACAATATTTGCAATCTACTCTTAATTGCCTTTCATATAATAAAGCTATACTTCAGAAAGATCTAAAAATTAGTGAAAATTTCTGTTTTCCTGACCCCCCATACACAGCCCCTGGGGGTCAGGATGAAAAACACGGAATATATGTGAAATAGATAAATGTTGTGAATATACTACCAAAATTTCAAACAATAATATTAATTACTTTGGTTTAGAATGAAAAATTTATGATTTTTGCGAAAAAGTCCCGTCATTTTTAAAGCGGCGGCCATCTTGAAAATTTTTTTTTGCGTAAAACTATTTATAGGATATCCTATGATTTTGAGGAATATCATTTTTATCTACGAGGTGATATTGATATCTGCACGAGAGAGCGAAGCGAACGAGTGCATATACCAATATCACAGAGTAGATTAAAATGATATTCGTTGGGATAACTACTACTACTACGAGGCACTTTCAGTCTACAATTGAATTGTAACGGTGAAAGGACTATTGCATTTGTAAATTTGACAAGGCTTTAACAAAATGTCTCAACCTGCCATTTGTTACATATGCTGGACAATGAATGCTAACCACCAACTGCCGAACAACCTCCACAAAAAGTTGGAGACTATAACAATACTAATATTTGACGCTATTATATTTCGCAATTTTGTAATTTTGAAATTTTCTGCTTTTCCAAATTTCGCAGCTAATAATTTTCGTAGATCTGTCATTCTGTAACTTCTCAAAATTTGAACATTTTGGTTTAACCTGAAATTAGGTTGTTGGGAGGTTCATTTGATTGAAAGGTTTACCGAATGGACCTTTTGTCGCCCCTCAATGGAAGAAAATACTGTCAACACTGAGTGAAATGTTATCGAATCCTATGACCACTTTAGATTTGTAGTGGAGGTTGTAGGATGCGATAAAGTGAAATGGAGAATTTGAGCTATTGGAATTTTATTTATGGAATTTTCCAAAACTCACGAAAAGGGCGAAATATATTAGCACTTGAAAATTACCAGGAGTGAAGTATATCATCACTTGTGGTGTTGACCTAACAAACTGAATGGCTTACTGTGGGGGAGGAGGAGGGTTTGGGATTCAGTGAGGAGTCTTGTTTTTGTGTTGCACTTTGTCGAGGTGAATGGCCTTTGCTTGTGAGTGGTTTATTTGATATTGGTGGCAGGATTGTCTTTTTACCATTACTTTGAACTTGAGTCTTTGAACGTTCCATTTGCCTAGTATGGCCATTCGATGATTCACTGCGCTCTTGAATTTCAAGCTGCATCTTGAGTCTGGCATTTATTTCATATGCCTCTTGCAATAGTATATCAGTTTCTTCTTCAGTCAGATTTGCGAGTTCAAGTGCTTTGAGTACAGCCTCTGGATTTGTAAGATCAATGTCATCACCTCGTTTCAGTGTCAAATTTGTCATTCCTTTTTCTAATCCAAGAGACTGAGACTGAGAGTTGGAAACTTTTGATTTTTGAGAGCTCAATTTATTTTTTTGTTTCGTGGAACCTGTCTTTGCTGAAGCCATTTCGGAAGCTGACAAGTAATACACAATATAACAGTTGATATGACCAATAAGTTATATTTCCATCATTCTTTTATGACCCTGTTTTATCCAAATAATTGACGATTTAAAAATATTTTAGCGTCAGAGTCGCCCAGTGGTTACACTTCCGGTCTTGCGCAGTAAGTCTATTGGGCGATAATAGGGGTTCAAGAAAAGGTAAAGAAACTGACGATTTATTATTTGTATGATTATGTCACTGTAGCTTGTCCAAACTGCAAAATTGAAGGAACGAGTACAGGGTAGTAGACAGCTTATTCTATAGTCTCACGATTTAACCTATTTAGGCCTAGTGCTTACATTTTCGGTGCTTGAATCACAGAGGAAGCCACCAATTTTTGGAATATTTTTTAGATTTTTATGCATAGATCTACTGATTGATTGAGATGCATATTTAAAAGTATAAACAAGTTAATGCAGCAACGTTTTCGTTGTCAAGATCTTCAAAAATTCTAACTTGGCCTAACCTGTAGTATGTATCCAACAGACTGACTAGAGTCCATTTCACTGCTTCATTTCGTCAGTAGAACGGCAAATATAAGAAATTGGGAGACCATTGTGCAATAATATATGGAAAAGTATATTCATAATGTACATGAATGACATTTGTATATCTTGGATTGCTTCTAGTTTGGCTTATAAAGTGTGTGGCCTTTTATATTTGGATGTTTCTCTGCCATGTTATTTTCAATAAGATTAACATGGCTGAAATTCTTCAAATTACAATACGGCACAGGCTTATTGCACAAACAACTAAAAAATCTGAAATATACAAATGTCATTCATGTACATTATGAATATACTTTTCCATATATTATTGCACAATGGTCTCCCAATTTCTTATTTTTGCCGTTCTACTGACGAAATAAAGCAGTGAAATGGACTCTAGAAGTCAGTCTGTTATGATGTACTACTTTCCTGTGGAAATTGCAGTGAAATTTTTTGCACAAAATTATCAATTAGAGGAACCATTTCTTCAATAAAGTAAACATTACAAAATTTCAATTATATAGTAAGGTACAATTAAATGCAATTAAAAGTAACACAGCTTATTGTCAAGTGGAAATAAAGCTAGATGAAGTAACAATGTGCAAATTGATTTTACCTAATAAATGTTGTATCCACCATTACTCACATTTTGAAACTTATGGCTCTACCAATGTGCACTGGACAGCTGAAGAAGAGTGGCCTTAAAAAAACGAATCAATGTGATCAGTGGTTTATACTTGGTATTTGACTGTGTCCTACATCAGTAGCATCCATCTGTGCAAGTACTGGAACGCTGGAGTTTTCTTTGTCATGTGGTCAGGACTTGTAATTGATCGTTGAGTGAAAGTTTTTTCTGCCCAATTCGAATATGGCAGTTTTTGTTCAGTAGTATACCTAACTAAGCATTGCGGCATTTCCGGTACAGTGTACTTAGGTCATTCGAAAGGTGCTTCCAATTCCAGCCAATAAGAACACGCTATTTCACATATTGCATTCTGTTTTATAAACAGAAACTTCCATTTGTTGTATGGTTGTCAAAGTGAGGAGATTGAAATTGATGCTTTGCCATCTTGACCCTTGCAATAAGTTTCATTGAAAAAATGTTCTTTTAGTGATTTCGTATCTTTTAACTCACATGATAGTAGAAATTAACTATTTTGCAATGTGTGAAAAGAATTTAAGCCCAAGACTCGATGCATTGTGGCTGCTTTATTCCACTCAGGTGTTGTTTCCTAAACTGCTGAGCGGTCATGCAAAGATTTGAAAACAACACCTTCAATGGAATGATTCTGCACACATTGCTTTGAGTCCAGGGCTTAAATCCTAAAATAACATATTACACCATGTATATTGTATAATAACATGTATAAATTTATAATATGACACATTGATGGGCAGGATTTTAAAAGCATGGTGATGCTGAAATAAGGCTCTAATGTAGAATGTAAATCTGTCTCAGAAAAGTTAAATGAACATTTTGGATTTGTACAAACACCAGCTTACATATACATGTATGTACGTACATATATACATTTACATGTATTTAAAAGTGAAAAACAGAGGAGTTTCATATGTATTTACTACTGTATGAATCAAACTTATTTCAGACTAAAAATGGGACACAAAGACAAAAAGAAAAGTCATCACAGATCAAGGTCACGTTCTAGAGATAGAGACAGAAGAAAGAAATCAAAAAAGAAGAAAAGGTGATTATTCTTAAACACTAGTGTAAAACATATTAGTTGCCAGAATGACATGGAATTCTGGTACTATCTCAGTCATTTTTCAGTTTCATTACGTACACTTTTTGAATGCTTCTTCAAGCAAATGTAAATTTCATTAACTGCTGTTTATCTCATTGCTCTTCGTAGGCTAGCAATTTTATGCCAGTATGTATTTTGCATAATATAGTCATATGACATTTATACACAAGTCATATTTTGAAGAATGGTTTAACAGCATCCATGACCATGTTATACCACTATCATATCTCTTGAATTGTATGTGATGATTACTCATACTTGACTTTTTAAAGATCTTCACTAGATGTACGTGTGAATGATGAGTATAGGATATGCTTTTTATCCTGTTTTTCATTGTATCATTCAAAAGGTTTAATAATATAATCAGGTGTCATATCTACAAATCTTAAATATGATAATGCAGCCAACACATAAATGTCTCACTGATGTGTGTGTTATGATTGCAGACACTACAGTGACAGTGAGTCCAGCAGTAGTAGAAGTAATTCCAGTAGCCCTGAGAGACCTAAAAAGTCTAAAAGAGATAGGTCACCTCCTAGGAAAAGTTCTTCAGCGATGACACTTGAAGAACTGGAACAAAAGAAACAAGAAACAAGGTGAGAATGTTTGAAGATATTATTTTGATCACTTTTTATGAAAACTAGCCTATTTTGAATTTTTTAATATAGTTAGGCCTTACATGTTCTGTGTACTGTATGTGCTGAGAAAAGCCTAGAAACTGCGAGATATAATTATTACTTAGTAATCCCCTAGGCCTATTATGAAAATGACGAAATGTGTGTTTGTACTTATGCTTATGTCTAGGAGAGAGAAGGAGCTGATGAAGAGTCTGGAGACACCAGAGGAGAAGAGAGCAAGAAGATTGGCCAAGAAGGAGATGAAGGAAAAGAGGAGAAAACATGACTCTGGTTGGGATGATGAAACACTAGTGAGTATAAAATTATGTTCAGCAGTCACACAATTACACAGCTGATTAGGTTTTGGACATGTTGGATCTATATCACCAGCCATTTTGTCATTCTGAAGTAGAAATTAAATATTTTTTCTTGTTTTTTAATAACATGGTCACATTTTGTGGGTTTTCCTGACTAAGATAATATTGCTACATTTCTAGGGCTATTCCAACGTAGACAATCCATTTGGAGATGAACGTCTTCATCAGACATTTGTATGGGGGAAGAAGATGGAGAAAGAGGGCAAGAAACATCTGGATAGTAAAGACATACATCGGATACAGAAGCAGAAGATGGAGGAAACAAAGGTAACATTGTGCTGGATTATTAGATAAGTTGCTATGGTAACCATAAAATGCAAAGTATTAATGGTTAAGGTGTATTTTGTGAATTTGATCCACCAACAGGTTCAAGTTTGTAAGTCAGCTGAGGAATCAGTTCATTCAATGCCATTCCCAATAAAATTAACAATACAGTTTACATCCTTTTAACCCCCTTCTCTCTTTTACCCCAAAATAGGGGGTCAAAGTTTAACTTTCAGTAAAAAATTAAGTTTGAACCATAATTATATAACCTTTATAGAAATATACAATGATGAAGCATAAATGAAGCATCAGTCGAGTTCTGTATTTGCATATATTATCCAGATTCACTTGTATTTTAGAGGGAGTTGGAAAAAGTGAAACAGCGTAGATTGGAGAGAGAACGTGAGAGGGAAGAGAGACAGAATGAACAGGTATGATATTCCAAGCCATTTTTGGTTAAATTTTGATTAAAAAATTGAAGTTAAAAGTTCTTGGATGAATGTTGTCATCGTCATTCCTTGAATTTGGAAGGTAGGGGTCAGCATGACCTAACTTTCTAATTCAATGGAATAAAATACTCTCTTTATATTTCATTTAAAAAGTTCAAATTGAAACAAAATTTAAACAAATATGTTTCTATAAAACTTTGGCAAGGCATTTGCCACACCCGCTTTTTGCCTCTGGTGTGAGAACGCAACTTCACGATCATGTCGTGCTTCATGTGTGTTGTTGAATGCTTATAGGAACTGATGCAAAGAGAGAAGGAGGTTGAATACTACCACAAGTGGGAGAGTCAAGAAGACACAGTGAGTACATGGTGACTCAAATATGCAACCCTCAAATTTTAGAACTTTCTCAATAACTTATTTTTGAAAAAAGAGGTATATAAAGTCATCAAACAATCATATCTATCATTTATGTCTTTGTCGTTAATATCATAAACCAATGAAATCATGAAATAATTTACATTGCAAGATGACTTTTTTAGTTCATATATTGCTTGAATTCATGTTGCAGGCTGTTAAAAGCACACGCAGAAATCTCTGTATCTTTTGGTCATTCTACTTTTCCTCTTTTCTAAAATTCAGTAATGATATTTAAAGTAGCAGCAAGTGGTTGTTTGATTTATCAAAAAAACTTATCATATTTAACATTAGTTTAAAGTTGTTTGATGTGGTTATTTCTAGTTTCATCTGCAACAAGCCATGCTGCGCTCAAAGATCCGTATCCAAGATGGCCGTGCCAAACCCATAGATCTGCTAGCAAAATACATCAGTGCAGAGGATGACGAGATGGAGCTAGAGATGCATGAACCTTATAGTTACCTCAATGTAGGTCTTGTTTTTACTTACCTCAATATAGGTCTTCATATTTACCTCAAAGTAGGTCTTCATATTTACCTCAATGTAGGTCTTTTTACTTACCTCAATGTAGGTCTTTATATTTACCTCAGTGTAAGTCTTTATGTTACCTCAATGTAGATCTTTATGTTACCTCAATGTGGCTATCTTTTTACTTGCCTCAATGTAGGTATTTATAGTTACCTCAATGTAGGTCTTTATATTACCTCAATGTAGGTCTTTATGTTACCTCAATGTAGGTCTTTTGTCTCTGTGTTAGTCCTTATACTTATTTCAATGTTCATTCTTTTTCTCATTGTAGGTCCTCATATTTATATCAATGTGGGTCCCTTATCTCAATACTGAAATTGTATGTTTAATTCTAGGGCCTATCAATTGAAGACTTAGAGGATTTACTGGAAGATATAAAGGTCTATGGGGAGTTGGAGCAAGGGAAGAATGCTGATTACTGGCGGGATATCACAATTATAACAGATGATGAATTAGTGAAACTTAGAAAAATAGATCCAAGTAGCAGAGGTGAGACTTTGGATCATCATTCCTATTCTTTTAAATTTCCTGATTTTCCAATTTAATACATGAAAAACACATTCCGTATATAGTGGTTTAGTCCCTGTTTACTTGAACACTCCATATACATCATGTTTGCTCTGTTTAGACTACATTGGTGACAGGCGGCAGGGTGTTAACAAGTCAGTACTTGGAGAGGTGGCAGGTGTTTTCAAGGGAAAGACCTACAAACAGCTCACTATGCTAGAGGGACAGATAAAGAACAAGCTTAAAGGTGGTGAGGGTGTAGATGTAGGTGAGTGGAGTGGAGTGTATAGATTATTAAAAAAAGCATCTTACAACATTATTTCTCTTCCCATACCTGTATTTATAATTTCTTGTTTGCATACACTTTAATTGACTCCATTCTTACTTTTTCAATGATGAACAATTCTTAGTAATTTTAGTGCAAAAGAACACTTGTAAGAAAAATATATAGCCATATGAGGTAAACATTACCAACTGACACCGATTTATTTCCATCAGTTGGACAGTCTTTGACTTTTTACTCAAGGCCTTTAGGATCTTATGGCAACAGGTCAACATTGCATTAAATACAGACCAGGATTTTAGAGAAACTTAAATCAACTGCAATTTTTTTATATCTAATGTCAATCATTAGCTCTGTTTTAAATTCAAAAGTTACTTAAATATCTTTCTAAGAATATAAATGATGAATGTATATGTGATAGGAGTAGCATAATATGAATATATGTTTAAATCTAGGCTATTGGGAGACATTACTTGGCCAGTTAAAGGCTCATATGGCTCGCACAAGACTGAGGGAACGTCACCAAACTATACTCAAGAGAAAATTGCAGAAACTAAAACAGGAGGTAAGATTAAAGAAATTGAATTAGTATCCGTGTGAAACATTATCAAAATGAGCACCAAATAAAATTGTTAATAAAGATATTGAAATTGCAGAATAGCCTGATATTTAAAGCTTCCAAGAAAATTCCTTCAAAATTCCATGTGGTCATGTTTGCTCCTTTTATGACTTTAGCAAGGAATAGAAAATGTAGCCAGTGATTCAAATATTGATGCCATTCCATCGACGTCCAGAGAGACTACACAGCCAAGTAGGCAGGAGTCTTCACCCCCTACAAACTCACAGCCACAACCAGGGGGTAGCAAGGAACAGCAGGAGGAGGAAGGACAAATGAAGGAAGAACAGGATGACGATTCTGAGTAAGTATGAAAGTGGTGATTCTGAGTGAGAATATGTGCAATTTGAAATTATGTTGAGTAAAAAATGAATGCAATGATTCCTCCTGACCATATACTGTATATTATGTTTGTAAATTAAGAGAAGGTGGAATCATTATCAGGCAGATACAGTAGTATTTAATTTGTGCACTCTGAAATCAATTTGAATGGATGGCGAAGTCCCTAATCTTAGATAATCAGACCATCTCATATCACTCTTTCAAAATTTGTAAGGATGTTGAATGAGTCTGGTAACCAGTAGCATTGTTTCTGAGTAATATTGCAATTACCATGATTGATTCTAATTTCCATGTACTGAAGTTTATCTTGTATTTGCACAGACCTGATGAGGCCATACTCACTGTAGAAGATCTGATGGAGCAGAGCATGGATGAATACACACTGGCTGGCTACAGTCCTAAACTGGTACGTCAGGCTGACCTGGACCCAGATGTTATCATCTATGATCCTGAGGATGATATGAAAAGACTTGAGTTCGCTCGGAGGCAGTTTCTAAGTACTGGTAGTGCTAAACTAGATGCAGATGCTGAGCTTGTAAAACGTGCTAGAGAAGGTGGGGTTTGCATTAATTTTGATAAATATAACTTCATTAATTTTGGATATATGAAAATATGCCTAAATGACAAATTACCATTTGATGCATTGCTTTAAAAGTACCTTGTCATGCAAAGTGTATAATATCTTTTTGAAAGATTGCAATCTGCTATCCATTGGAAGAATATGAAGATGATGATATATTTATACAACATATTGGATTATATACGATAGAGAAAACCTCAGAAATAGTCTAATCTTAAAGTAAATAAATACTTCCTGATCTCGCATGTTTCAGGCATGAATGATGAGGAGGCCCAGTTTAGTGTAGAGGTTCCCTTAGAGCATCAGGCCATACTCTGGTCAGATAGATACAGACCTAGGAAACCAAGGTTCTTCAACAGGGTCCACACTGTGAGTAAAATACAGATATTAAGGATCACACAATACATTAGGAATTCATTTTCCTTCTGTTATGGGAATGGCTAAAGTTGCATTTATTTTTCACCTGTATGAACGTCAGGGACAGTGTACAGGATTTTATTGACAATTCAACAAATGAATAATAGCATTTCAATCTATCGATGGACAATGTATACCAAAATTAGGGGTCACACGGTTAACCGTGGCTTGCGGTTACCGCGGTTCATACCTCCACGACGGTTAGCTCGCACACAATCTTGAAAACCGCGGTTCTTGAAGAACCGTGACATTTTCAGTTTCACTTCAGAAAAAATAAAAATGTAAACTCGGAATTAAACTCCATTTCAAGCTTTCGTGTAATACCAATTAACTAAACATCGTCTGGAATCGTTAATCATCATGCAATAATGCGAACCATACCTGATATTTACGACGATCTTCTGATATAGACGGCAGATAACAAAAACAAAAGGAAAATGTTGATAAATTTCACCGGCATATTGACCCGGAAGTGACCTACGCTAAACATTTCGCGCAATCCTATTGGTTGATAGAACAGTATACTGTAAAAAACCGAACGCCGAATGCATTGAATTTGCGAACGAGTCACGTTCTGTGTATTACGTTCGCCTTTGATCCATGTTGAGTCCTGGCAAAGTGTTGAACTTAAGTTATATTTCTAAAGAAAACATTTATTCAGTTTAGTGAAGTACTGTGCTAATTTTGCCAACAGTTGACAAGTTATTTTATGTGTTGAAAAAACTTGAACATCAAACAAGAAGATCAACACAGTGAACACACAGATATTTTGGGAGGGAGGGAGGGAAAAAAGACTGAACAAACAAACAAACATTGTGTGAAACTGGAAACTTACAATAATGAATACAATAAAACAATGTGACACACTTAGTATGTTTTCTGATTTTCGGATCAATTTCATATATTTTTGCTCATTTCACGAGGCCCGTGAGAACCGCAATCAGAACCGAACCGAACTGTGAAATACAATAACCGAACCGAACCGTGAAATCTCAAACCGTGTGACCCCTAACCAAAATACTTGAGAAATACACCTTGACATTAAGCATTGCTGTTCACTAGAATGTGCTCTGCCTATATCCCCTTTTTCTATAAAAAACTTCCAATAGTGAGTGAAGAAGAGATTGTCATTCCAAAGGTTCAAATCTTTGTGTGTCTTCTTGTATCTTATTGCTAATATGATGATAAAGACTCGATCTTCAATTACATGTATGTTGATTGCAGGGTTTTGAGTGGAACAAGTATAACCAAACACATTATGACATTGACAACCCTCCTCCAAAGATTGTCCAGGGATACAAGTTCAATGTAAGTTACTCATCTCACAATTCTTTTTGCATGAATACTTGGACACCATCTTTTGATTGTTATGGTTTTCATAAAAGTGCATAAATTCACCATGACACAGTTTTTACTCCATTAATATTTCTGACTCTGGTGTCGGAGAGCTGTTTATTGGAATAGTAATTTGTCATATACATGGCTTAAAGTCTTCAGGAATTTCAGGAAAAAATTGACCAAACTCTGACCCCATTGAGTTAAATACAAATCTGGATTAATTTCTTGAGGGAGGGGGTGGAGTAGGGGGTCAAGCAAGGGTTTTAAAATTATCTAATTTGAAAGTATATGTAACGGGTCTACATTGCTCTAAAAAGCACACAATCAAATCTCTTTTTTCCAAAATTTCTTGGAGGGAGGAGCCGCCAAATCTCACCGCTCGCTTGGTCTGCGTCTTTCGCCATTCAATTTTCAGGAAATTTGAAATATGTTGCTTTAAACCATGTTAAAGTTATTGCCTGACACATACAGCTTTTCCAAATGTACAGAATATGGACAACAGACTATTTGTCTAATTTTTACGTAAAATATGCAGTTTGTAGCCTACTTGAAGGAATTATATTTTGTTCAATGATATTTTCCAGATATTCTATCCAGATCTAATAGACAAGACAAAAACTCCAGAATATACTTTGGTAAGTTTGAAAGTACTGTATTTCATTTCTATTACTTCAATATATTTGTTATATAACATTAAAATGGCTCTACCTCTAACCCTTATTCCAATACATTTTATGTGCCAACTTGCGGTAATTATTGTTGTAAAGTTAACACACAGACTGGTAAAGGCTTGCAATATTAACCAATTGTTAAATACATGTACATGTATAATAGGGAGGTTAAAGTTACACATGTTTAAGAGAACCTGTACGTGAGCGTTTAATATTTCGAAACACATGGATTACTGTCCTGCTCTCAATCCACTTTTCCAGGGACCTAATAACAATTATTTTCCATATACATTACACTTAATTAGCCAAGTAAACACTTCAAATGGGAGAGCTAATCCACAGTGGACCACAATTAGACATGTTCATGTACAAGTTTTTTTTAAAATGTGTATCTTGACCTCCCTAATGTCTACTGCCTTGTACTTATAATAATAATCATTTACTTCTCACAATTCCAGACACCTGATCCAGCCAATAAAGACTTTGGTGTGCTGCGGTTTCGTGCTGGTCCCCCATATGAAGACATTGGTTTCAAAGTGGTCAACAGAGAATGGGAATATTCATATAAACGTGGATTCAGATGCCAGTTTCAGAACAATATATTCCAGTTATGGTATCACTTTAAACGCTACCGTTATAGAAGATAATGGAAGGTGTATTCTCTGAAATTATGGATTGTGGAATGGAACTACAACAATAATTCTGGAATCAATAAATGACATAAATATGCTCATAATTTGTGAATTTGCGAAGTGAGGAGATGACAACATTGAAAGCACACACACTCTTATTTAAATATGTATTTTTGTACAAGAAATATAAATAAATTGGTTGTATGTGAAACTAAGCATGTTTACTATATTGATGTGGGTGAGTCGATTACATTTCAGTTTTTGCATTTAGACTTTTTGAGATCACAAAATCTTTTATATTCAACAAGAAAGTTTATACCAAATCTATTGATGATTGGATTATAGATCGAACGAAAAGGAACACTTTGAGGTGATTTAGATTTATAAGGGTTAGAGAGACTGGCCTTTCAATAAACAACTTCTCCACTCTATTTGTATGTCAGGTTTATTCAAATAATGTGGAAATATATGTAAATTCAATTTTGAAGCTGGTTTTTTATATTTAAGAAATATAGACCGAAAAGCAGGGGTTATATCGTCGAATACACCCCACAGGGCTAGGCACAAACGTTTTCTGTACATCAAACGACCGAAGCGAGTGAGGGGTTCGAAAGCTTTTGTGCCTAGCCCCAAGGGGTGTATTCGACGATATTACCCCTGCTCTGAGGTCTATATAATGATTCGAAAATGAAATCTCACCAAATTGTTTCGAATATTCATCATGGTCCGCCATTACTACGACCCACGTTATGACGTCACACATTACACGTATTAACTGGGTTATTGATCTCGAATATAACCCAGCTGAAGCATCGACTTTGTTTACAGTTTATAAAAGGCGTGAATACAGTCATGTTCGAATTATTGATAATGCATAGCATTGCCACAGCCTCCCGGGCACAGCCTCAATTGAAACAAAGGAACATGAAATTTATTCAGGGCGTCTCATACAAGGCTTCACATTCTTCAAGAAGTCTTATTAGGGGATTTGCATTATATGGAAATAGGTTTTTATGCACAAGTCTTTCTAAAGCAAATCTCAGCTGAATAAGAAGAGTCATAACTTTGTCCAACAATGATTCGTTATAAAGGTGACTATCAGAATTATTTGAATATGAACTTCCATCATTTATGTCTGAAGCTTCATCTGCAATGTCATCATTTGTCTGAACTTCTTTATTGGTTTCTGACAATGCTTCAGTGTTATCTGGATTTGTTGTACCACATTTGCTGAGATTGAGATTTTCATTAAACTGATCTAAATCTAATAGCATCTCACCAGTGGAATGAGATATATCTTGTTTTGCCAGGGAATCCTTTCCTCCAGTATTTAGTTCATGAGTAGTGTTCATTTCATTCAGATTTGGAGATGCGAGATGTGATGTTGCTATGCAGTCTTCATCTTCTGAGTTGTCAGTTGAGCTATCAGAGTACTCCACCAATGCTCTCCTGTTGCTCTGTGTGCAGAGGTTGTCTGATAAGACAGACCCTTTGTCCTTAAAATCCTTTATCAATAAGGCATTTTTACCATCATTTGTGGCATGATTATAATTGGTTGTCTGAATGTCATTAATTTTTGATAAAATTGGAAATGATGATTTTTCACTTACTTGATTTGATTGTGCTGATATTGATGCTGATTGTTCAGATACACTTGTTTGTTCATTTGATACTGGTAATTGATTTGACATGCTCAACATGTGTTCAGTTGTCACTGGAGATTCATCAATCATGCCCATTGATTGTTTAATTGCCAGATGTGATTCATCAGTTATATCCAATGTTCGTTCAGTTATCACTGGAGATTCATCAGTCATGTCTATTGATTGTTCAGTAGTCACACAAGATTCATTATTCATACCCAATAATTGTTTAGTTGCTACTCTTGATTCATCAGTTATATCCATTGTTTGTTCAGATGTCACCAATTCATCAGTTATTGATTCTTCAGTTGCCACTGGTGGGTGCACATGTCCACATATCATGATAAACATGCTCCATTCATTGATGAGAAGTTTTAACATCTTGGTAAGATAGAGAAGGAATGATGTCTCTGGTGAAGTGAGGAGGTCCAGGAGGACTGTGTGGTCAAATGAGAAATGATCCATGCAGTTAAGAAACAACCTGTGAGCTAAAAGCCAGGAGTTTCTTGCTTCCCTGCAATATAGAATTATAATACTTGTACAATGAAATATTAATTAATGAAATATCAATGTCCTCCAAATTAAGCCTTGCTATATAAAAATTTTAAAATATCATATTTTCTGAAAGCACACCCAGTACATGTAATCCCACATCTTTTTAACTTGTTGTAGCTAATCACAGAAAAAGGGTGTCAAACATTAATACAAAAAAACAAATTATGCTGTTGTCTGGACCAGAACCAAATCTCATGGGACAACTGAGCTAACTAAACTTAGATTTTCTGTTGTAATGAAAAAGGAATTGAATTCAAATTGCATGTACATGTACAATAAAATTTCATGCTAAGATGACATACATTTTTGTTGCTTGTAAAGTTGGTTGGTTGCAAAATAAGTATTTGATTTGTCAAGTCACTTACTGATGAACTGTGTGTTGATATATAACCAGAACACATATAAGACTCTCTATGAGGCCATCATCTTGGTCCCTATATAATCTAAACATCCACTTTTCCTCATCAGCTCCATCTGACATGATAATTGAAGACACAAAATAACACAACTGCGTAAAACTTGCTGCACTCTCCTTTGAACCTGGAAAAAGGTTTTAATGCCAATATCTACATCTTTTTCACTCCTAGATGGCTGGGTTTTCATGTCATCACTGAGAAGCCACCAAGGAGTAGTGACAGTGACATATTATTAAAGTCATGATCTCTTGTGCTCTGAGCATTTGGTGACAGTGTTCTCCATCTTTAACTTATAATTAAACAATTGTAACTGCAACCAAATGATGACATTTTCATGTTGATCGCACAATCCATTTACTGTAAAACGGGTAATTTTGACACCGGGAAATTTTAGCGATTTTTCAATTTTAGGGGGTTTTAGCTCGGGAAATTTTAGCGAAATGAAGAGTAATCAAATTAGCGAAATGCATTAGAAATTTTATCATTTATGGCAAAAGAATGAATAACGGACATGACAGAGGAATTATCAAAATGTAAGACTTCTAACGCACATGGTATTGGTCCAAACTACTGTAATCTCATCTGACTAATCACAAAATCACGGTAGCATTTAAAATATTGAAAGAAACATACGATTTAAAAATATTTACCTTTTTCAAATTAAAAACCTGAAGTCGAGCACTGAACGAAAAGCTCCTAAATACTGGTATTCATGTTGTTTCCCTGGAATTTGCACATTTTAGCGCCCGGTTTATTTTAACCCCGGTTTATTTTAGCAAATTGAGTTTTTAGCGAAACTATAGCGATCGCTAACAATTACCCCTCGCTAACAATACCCGTTTTACAGTATCTACTAGACTAATTAAATTAAACCATGGAATCCGCTAACGAGAAAAACATTTGTGAATGGTCTTCAAAAGAGATTCAATAAAGTTACCTTTCAGTTTAGGTACAGTAAATTTATTGAAGATGTTGATGCCTTGTTATTTTTGTGAATCAGCCTCGGGGAGGAAACCATATACTAGCCAGATTTAATTGTTACCTGCCAATGATAATGTAGCACAAGACTTGAGGAGTATTATAGATATCTTCCTGAGCAGAGGCCAGTCTCTTTGTTGTTCACATGTAGACGGATTCCCTTCTAATGATGCACCACTAAAGCCTACATTACACTTCCTAAAACAGATTGTTCAACATTAAAATGACACTCATAAGAACTGTAAGTACCATAGCTATTCAAGGAATTTAATGATAAAAGGGGATTGTAGAAAGAACTGTGATGAATTTTATGTAACCATAACATGATTTTCCATGAATTGATCCTCTCATCAAATGTACTATGGTTTGAAAAATCTTAAGATGGCTACCTTAATGGCATATCCCTAGTATAGTCTATGCCTAGAAGGGCTTCACTTAGGACATGTGCCCTCTGCAATATGACCGAGTTGTGGTCTCCTTTGATGCACTGTAGAAGGGGAAGCCATAGATTGGCAATGTCCAAGATTTTGCTGAATATAAGTGGATTGTCTTGTGTTTGCAGGTATGTTACAATAGAAGGTATTGTAGATGTGTTAATAGTGTCAACCAGTTCATGCCAGCAACTAACAGCATTTCCCTCATATGTGCTCATCGATGGCAATGTTCTATCACTTTTCGCTTTATCTGTAGCATTTACTATTAAGCCTGTTCTAATATGTTCATTATCTAGTTCTGTTTCATTCATAGGAGCATCTAGATTAGTGCATACACCTGAGTTGGGGATATTACCAGGCTCCATATTACTTTGCATTAGATTAATAATAATGTCATAGAATTCTAATTGTGTCAAGGTGATATCCTTTTCATCCCCATTCAAATGACACGTAAATTCATTTAGATTCTTCCATTGTGACAAAAGGGCATCTCCTGAAATGATGCACAATGGATTATTCAAAAAAGACAATAACATGCAAAATGTCACCACTTGCCATTTTTTACAGATGCCTCCTGTAAAATGCCTAAAAACATCCACAAAAAAGTTGGAGACTATAACAATACATATATGTTACCACTTGTGGTGGTGACATAAAAACTGAAAGAAATTAATTATATAAAAGTTACCTGTTCACTGATAAGTAATGAAAACTCCCTGGAGTAGTAGATCACCATATGAGGAAGGTATATATGAGGGTTGTCCCAGAAGTAATGCACATTATGGAATTTTCTTCCTTATCGAGATATTGTAATGTCTCAACTTTGTCCATAAGATCATATAAATCACGCAGTAGTGGAAAGAACATTTGAAAGGTTATAAAAATTTGTACCTATCCATTCCTGCATTCCCTGAGCTACAAGGTGACTGACAGAATGCAATAAATGTATAGCTGCTCTGTTTGTACTGGAATCCTCGATAATATGCTGGATGGTGAGATTTAGCATTGCAGTACATCTAGCCTAAAATAATATTCTCCTTAATATTATGATATTCCACCTAGTGCATAGCCAAGAAAGCAGAGGCAATAAGGTAACGGTCTAAATCATGAGTCACCTGAAATGTGAAGTTATTGTTGCAACTGCAAGTAGAACAGAATTATTTTCAACCAATTTTGATGGACCAACCAACCCAAAGTCTTTGGGTTGTAGACTCACATGATGTGGTCAACTGAAAACATACATCACTTGTCTTCAAAGCAATGATTCCCGAGTTAATTGACTGCAAAAATGTTTTCCTGACTGTTAGATTACAAAATTATGTTGGTATTACTTTAAATTTCTAAACAAAATTCATAGAAATAATTTCTGATTTCATAATGGCTTAAAAATGATGAGATAAGCAAAAGTAACAGTACCTGACACATATACACTGCTTACCTTTTCTGGATGATTTTTAAGAATATAAACCAAGGTCTTTGCTGCTGAATATGATACATAATCATCTCCATCGCTGCAGTACTTCAACTAAAAATAAAAAATAGTTAATTAGTTCAATCTGTCAATGGTTCATTTAACAAGGCACAGGACGTGAACGAGATCACACCATCAAATAGGCAGACACTATGAACCAGGAAAACTGTTCTCCTATTATGTTAACAAATTTCAAGAACAAGAAAACAAGATGGCCGCCCAAAAGTTAATCAGCTCTAGTACTTGATATCCTCTATCATTTGTGTAAATTTGAAGGAAATCTGATGAGCGCTTTTCCTGAAATGGCGATGACAAGATTTTTCGAAAAACCTTCAAAATGGCCACCAGAAAACAAGATGGCCGCCCAAAAGTTAATCAGCTCTAGTACTAGATATCCTCTATCATGTGTGTAAATTTGAAGGAAATCCGATGAGCGGATTTTCTGAAATGGCGATGACAAGATTTTTCGAAAAAATCTTCAAAAAGGCTGCCAGAAAACAAGATGGCCGCCCAAAAGTTAATCAGCTCTAGTACTTGATATCCTCTATCATTTGTGTAAATTTGAAGGAAATCCGATGAGCGGTTTTCCTGAAATGGCGATGACAAGATTTTTCGAAAACCCTTCAAAATGGCTACCAGAAAACAAGATGGCCACCCAAAAGTTAATCAGCTCTACTACTTGATATCCTCTATCATTTGTGTAAATTTGAAGGAAATCCGATGAGCGGATTTTCTGAAATGGCGATGACAAGATTTTTCGAAAAATCTTCAAAATGGCTGCCAGAAAACAAGATAGCTGCCCAAAAGTTAATCAGCTCTAGTACTTGATATCCTCTATCATTTGTGTAAATTTGAAGGAAATCCGATGAGCGGTTTTCCTGAAATGGCGATGACAAGATTTTTCGAAAAACCTTCAAAATGGCCGCCAGAAAACAAGATGGCCACCCAAAAGTTAATCAGCTCTAGTACTTCATATGCTCTATCATCTCTGCGAATTTGGAGAAAATCTGATGAGCAGTTTTCCTTAAACGGCGATGACAAAAAGCGGGACGATCACGATCACGACCACGACCACGATCACGATCACGACCACGATCACGATCACGACCACGATCACGACCAGTATGACGACTATGTCCCACCGATGGTGTGATAAAAAGAATCCAGGTTCATTTTAGGTTCAAACTTAAACAAGTATCTCCTTTTAGATTTATGGGTGAAGTGTATGTGACAAAACTAAAACTAACACTTTTTTAAATGAAACTTATCTTTTTTTATATCCTTCATTAACAGTGATACTCAATATTTTTGAATTGAAAAATATAGATTTTTCACAATACTCCTGCCATTTTTGAAGTGGCACTCATTTTAATATTTTTTTTGCATTTCACAACTCAATACACTAATACTTTCCTAACTACATCTATAATCACTTACCAACAACTGTTCAGTTTCCTGTAACTGTTTTGGACATGAAGATGCCTTCTTCTGTTTACCGTGTTTCTTTCTCAGTTTGTTGATTTCAATCAAATGATAGTTCATGGTTTTGAAGTGCTTTTTTATCTAATTGAATTCGATTTCTTATCTCTTTTTATATTTCAGTAACAGAAATGTAATGGTGGAATTCCCTACTGGTTCTGCATTGATGCATCAGTCTCCCTGTAAATACATAATTTAATTAAATTTAAACACACATTAGACAGTTAGATAAGGCTTAGCATAATCACAGGCTGGTATCGAAAAATTTGTCCGCTGTGCTTGAGCGTGTTATTTTGCATAGAAACACTAGGAAATCCACACAATTTATTTTTTACTCATATGTTTTACTATATCAAAGAAAACTACTGACTCCATGCAATGAATATATCATTTGCGCGTAACTTTAACTTCTGTTTGAAGTCCAAAAACCCTAAGAGTAAAAGCTATTGAAAACGGCGTCGAAGTATCATACTCCAAAAAATACCATTTCTTTTATTTCTTTTTAATGGTACAATGTAGCGACACGATAATATTTACATATATTTTCAGCATAACTCTGAAGGTATTAATGAGATCTTTATGTATTGGGTGTTTTTATTTTTTTGATAAAAAATAATAATTAGATTTTTTGTCCGCTGTGACGGAGCAGTTTCAAATCTGAAATACGTTAAGAATTTAGATTTATAATATATCTCTTTACAACTACAGGTTAGAGGAGCGAGCGTGTCAAATCTCGTAAAGTATTCTGAAAAATGAAACGTAATAAAAGTACACAATTCAAATTCTGAGATGTATATACAGGGTGTTCCAAAAGAAACAGGACTGGTGCTGGCATTTTGTCAATTTTGCACTGAGTGTCCTCTAATTTTTACAAATTGTACTTTGAAATACTGCAACTAAAATTGTAAAGTTTCAGTAAAAATGATAAAATGCAGTTAGAGTTATGGTTACTATAGTAACATGACATCCCAATACCCGGGGCAACTTTTTTCCTGAAAATGTGATATCTAACATTTTTGTATTCCTGAAGAAAGTATCTAATTCACCTATTATAATACAACATTTCTTGTTTATTTTATTAGTTGCTTTGTTGTAAAGATGTTGCTTTACAACTCAGATTCAAATAATTTCATAATGATAATAATATTCATTCAATTTCCTGGAATATCACTATGTATAACAGTTTGAACAATTCACGGTTGAGTTTTTGAAAAGACCCAATTTGAAGCCAGCCATCCACCTTGATAGCGCGCCTGCCCGCAGGTCACCATTAAAGACCATGCAGCTATGGAGGAGCTAGGTCTTGAGGTCTAAAACCATGTACCATACTCTTCTGATCATGTAATATCTAATTTGTACTTATATTGAGAACGGAATGCTAATCAGTGCTGTAAGACCTTTAAAGATGAGAATGACCTTCTCCAAATTGTCCAATCGACCCTGCGTGGTATGTCCTCAAATGGGTTCACTCATGTGTTTGGGTCATGGACCCAGAGTACTACTCTTGTACTGACAAAAGAGGAGCCTATTTTTCAAAGTAGAGGATACATAGGAATATCAAATGATGTAAAACAAATGTAATTCCCACCAGTTGTTGCATTTCAACTTTGATAAGGCATGTACAAAATGATATGGGATGTTCAAAATGCTCAGTGTCTCTGTAACTTTTTGCGTGGAATGTTGCCCCGGGTATTGCGATGTCATGTTGCTATAGCAACCATAACTCTACCAGAGTTTCATATATTTTGTCGAAACTTTGCAGTCTTAGTAACGATACATGAAAGTACATTATGTAAAATTTTGAAGACAATCGGTGCATATTTAACAATATGCCAGCACCAGTCCTGTTACTTTTGGAACACCCTGTACGACCACTCTTTAAGCATCTTTTCTCAGTTTGTACTGCAATCCAACTTATGCATGGTAACTCATGAAAATGATAGTCAGCTTCATTTAAGTATAGGGTATTTCCCTTTCGTAGTGCCTTCTGTGGATCCATTGACCTGACATGGTCATTTTTTATGGTAACTTGATTATTTGAAGTAAAATGATTTGCTGAAGATGAGGCTAAATACATATGATGGTATGGAATGTGGATTGTTCTACTCTCTTTAGTCGTTCCAAAAGGTAAGTTGAGTGTATCTTGAAATACGAAAATGCGAAATTTGATTTTAAGATCGTTCTTTATTTGAATAAGAGTTATGGCTATCTGATGCAACTACAGTAAAACATGTGTACAGTGAACACATATGGAGCCCAAAAATGTGTTCCCAGTTGGTAGATGTTCACTCCATACAGGCAATTTCATACAGAAGTCAGAGGAATATTTGATAAGAAGAGGTGTTCACTAGAGAAAGATATTCATTGAGACAGGTTTTACAGTGCAGCACGTTTACCAAGACTTTTTTTATAATTTTAGTCTATGCAAAACGATGAATTTCATGAATTTCAAATAAATACAAATTAAATCTGTATTGGGATCATCTTATATACAGTAATATTATGTGGTAAAAGGTTATACATCTGTCGGAATGCAGGATGTCTGTGCGCTATTTCGAATAAATTCATATTAGCCCTATTTACACTACACGTGACATTTCAAGACGTCTTGGCTAAAACGTATTAGAAATATTATGTTGAGTTTACACCATGTTGATTTCAGTACAAACCTCCGTTGTCGTTTTTATATCTCAGATTTACATTACCCCAGATCTCCAAGAGACTACTTGTCATTATTTAGGAAAGTGATTTGTGACGTTCTCTCTTCTAAGGGTACTTTTAAAATATATAATTTGCATCTTAAATTCTTAACGTAGTTCACAGCTGACAAAAAATGAAAACATTATTTTTTATAAAAAATATTAAAAATACCCAATACATCAAGATATCATTAATACCTTCAGAGTTATGCTGAAAACACATGTAAATATTATCGTATCACTATATTGTACCATTAAAAAGAAATAAAAGAAATGGTACATTTTGGAGTATGATACCCCGGCGCCGTTTTCAATAGCTTTTACTCTTAGCGTTGTTGGACTTCAAACAAAAGTTAAAGTTACCCGCAAATGATATACCCATTGCATGGAGTAAGCAATATTCTTTGGAATAGCGAAACATATGAGTAAAAAAATAAATTGTCTGGATTTCCTAGTGTTTCTATGCAAAATAGACATCAGTGTCACAATATAGGGTAGCGATTATTGGGTTTTTATTTTGTGCTACTTTTGGACTTAGAATAAAATTTAAAATGACCAGGCATTTAAACATACAGTTCAGTCCAGCCTTTCGATAGATTTTCATACCTTTTTTCAAAACCAACACAAATGGCCAAAAGTATCACTTTTCCAGAAAATAAACAGAGTCCAGCATACGATAGATTTCCATACCTTTTTTCAAAACCAACACAAATGGTGAAAAGTAACACTTTTCCAGACAAGAGTCCAGCCTATCGATAGATTTTCATCCCTTTTTTCAAAACCAACATAAATGGCGAAAAGTAGCACTTTCCAGAAAATAAACAGAGTCCAGCATACGATAGATTTTCATACCTTTTTTCAAAACCAACACAAATGGCGAAAAGTAACACTTTTCAGAAAATAAACAGAGTCCAGCATAGGATAGATTTTCATACCTTTTTTCAAAACCAACACAAATGGCAAAAAGTAGCACTTTCCAGAAAATAAACAGAGTCCAGCATACGATAGATTTTCATACCTTTTTTCAAAACCAACACAAATGGCGAAAAGTTACACTTTTCAGAAAATAAACAGAGTCAAGTCTATCGATAGATTTTTATACCTTTTTTCAAAACCAACACAAATGGCGAAAAGTAACACTTTTCAGAAAATAAACAGAGTCCTGCAGCATAGGATAGATTTTCATACCTTTTTTCAAAACCAACACAAATGGCAAAAAGTAGCACTTTCCAGAAAATAAACAGAGTCCAGCATACGATAGATTTTCATACCTTTTTTCAAAACCAACACAAATGGCGAAAAGTTACACTTTTCAGAAAATAAACAGAGTCAAGTCTATCGATAGATTTTTATACCTTTTTTCAAAACCAACACAAATGGCGAAAAGTAACACTTTTCAGAAAATAAACAGAGTCCAGCATAGGATAGATTTTCATACCTTTTTTCAAAACCAACACAAATGGCAAAAAGTAGCACTTTCCAGAAAATAAACAGAGTCCAGCATACGATAGATTTTCATACCTTTTTTCAAAACCAACACAAATGGCGAAAAGTAACACTTTTCAGAAAATAAACCAGAGTCCAGCATAGGATAGATTTTTATACCTTTTTTCAAAACCAACACAAATGGCGAAAAGTAACACTTTTCAGAAAATAAACAGAGTCCAGCATTCGATAGATTTTCATACCTTTTTTCAAAACCAACACAAATGGCAAAAAGTAACACTTTTCAGAAAATAAACAGAGTCCAGCATACGATAGATTTTCATCCCTTTTTGAAAACCAACACAAATGGCGAAAAGTAACACTTTTCAGAAAATAAACAGAGTCCAGCATACGATAGATTTTCATACCTTTTTTCAAAACCAACACAAATGGCGAAAAGTAACACTTTTCAGAAAATAAACAGAGTCCAGCATACGATAGATTTTCATACCTTTTTTCAAAACCAACACAAATGGCGAAAAGTAACACTTTTCACAAAATAAACAGAGTCCAGCATACGATAGATTTTCATACCTTTTTTCAAAACCAACACAAATGGCGAAAAGTAACACTTTTCAGAAAATAAACAGAGTCCACCATAGGATAGATTTTCGTACCTTTTTTCAAAACCAACACAAATGGCCAAAAGTAGCACATTTCCAGAAAATAAACAGAGTCCAACATCAGTAGATTTTCATACCTTTTTTCAAAAACAACACAAATGGCCAAAAGAAACACTAAACAGAGTTCAGCCTATCGATAGATTTTCATACCTTTTTTCAAAACCAACACAAATTGCCAAAAGTAACACTTTTCCAGAAAATAAACAGAGTCCATGCCTTCAGTATATATCGATTTTCTTTCCTTTTTTAAAAGGCAACATAAATGGCAAAAAGTAACACTTTTCCAGAAAATAAACAAAAAGCTTTTTTCAAATCTTGACTGAGGATCAAACTTTTATTTTTCTCGGTAGACCGGAAGTAAATTTATGAGTCCAGTAAAAGGTGATAATCTTCTTTTTATGAAGTGGGGAAGTCAAAACAGTACTAATAGAAGTCATAGTAAGCATTCGAAGATAATTTAGAACCATTTAAAACCAAATCGACGGCAAATTTGAAATGACTGAAATCTTTATATTTTCTTCTTCATCTTCTTCGCGGACCTCAGAGAAGACACTTCCGGTTTAATAATCAGCGATTTTATCGATCAAAAAATATTTTTTATGAATTTGTCCGATATCTGCTAATATGGTATGTATATTTGTGCTGATTGTTAAATTACAAAATAGGTTGGGTATAGAATATAGTCAAAGTCGTTTGATCTCGTCCCAGAAACAATATTTTGTCATTTCTGTCACCTAGAATTCCTTAAATTGGCTATCAAAATGCTAAAGAGCCTTAAAATTTTAGGCTCTTTCAGCCGAAATGCTAAAGAACCTTAAAATTTAAGGCTCTCTAGCCAAATTGGTTACCAAAATGCTAAAGAGCCTTAAAATTTAAGGCTCTCCAGCCACGGCCTTTTGAAAAAAAGGTATAAAAATCTATCGATAGGTTGGTCTCTGTTTATTTTCTGGAAAAGTGTTACTTTTGGCCATTTGTGTTGGTTTTGAAAAAGGGGTATGAAAATCTATCGATAGGCTGGACTCTATTTATTTTCTGGAAAAAGTGTTACTTTTGGCCATTTGTGTTGGTTTTGAAAAAAGGTATGAAAATCTATCGATAGGCTGAACTTTGTTTATTTTCTGGAAAAGTGTTACTTTTGGTCATTTGTGTTGGTTTTGAAAAAAGGTATGAAAATCTATCGCTAGACAGGACTCTGTTTATTTTCTGGAAAAGTGTTACTTTTGGCCATTTGTGTTGGTTTTCAAAAAAAGGTATGAAAATCTATCGATGGGCTGAACTCTGATTATTTTCTGGAAAAGTGTTACTTTTGGCCATTTGTGTTGGTTTTGAAAAAAGGTATAAAAATCTATCATATAATGGACTCTGTTTATTTTCTGGAAAAGTGTTACTTTTCACCATTTGTGTTGGTTTTGAAAAAAGGTATGAAAATCTATCATATGCTGGACTCTGTTTATTTTCTGGAAAAGTGTTACTTTTCACCATTTGTGTTGGTTTTGAAAAATGGGATGAAATCTATCAATGGGCTGAACTCTGATTATTTTCTGGAAAAGTGTTACTTTTCGCCATTTGTGTTGGTTTTGAAAAAAGGTATGAAAATCTATCGTATGCTGGACTCTGTTTATTTTCTAAAAAGTGTTACTTTTCGCCATTTGTGTTGGTTTTGAAAAAAGGTATGAAAATCTATCGTATGCTGGACTCTGTTTATTTTCTGAAAAGTGTTACTTTTCGCCATTTGTGTTGGTTTTGAAAAAAGGTATGAAAATCTATCGTATGCTGGACTCTGTTTATTTTCTGAAAAGTGTTACTTTTCGCCATTTGTGTTGGTTTTGAAAAAAGGTATGAAAATCTATCGTATGCTGGACTCTGTTTATTTTCTGAAAAGTGTTACTTTTCGCCATTTGTGTTGGTTTTGAAAAAAGGTATGAAAATCTATCGTATGCTGGACTCTGTTTATTTTCTGAAAAGTGTTACTTTTCGCCATTTGTGTTGGTTTTGAAAAAAGGTATGAAAATCTATCGTATGCTGGACTCTGTTTATTTTAGTGTTACTTTTTGCCATTTGTGTTGGTTTTGAAAAAAGGTCTGAAAATCTATCGAATGCTGGACTCTGTTTATTTTCTGAAAAGTGTTACTTTTCGCCATTTGTGTTGGTCTTGAAAAAAGGTATGAAAATCTATCGTATGCTGGACTCTGTTTATTTTCTGAAAAGTGTTACTTTTCGCCATTTGTGTTGGTTTTGAAAAAAGGTATGAAAATCTATCGTATGCTGGACTCTGTTTATTTTCTGAAAAAGTGTTACTTTTCGCCATTTGTGTTGGTTTTGAAAAGAGGTATCAAAATCTATCGATAGGCTGGACTCTTGTCTGGAAAAGTGTTACTTTTGGTCATTTGTGTTGGTTTTCAAAAAAGGTATCAAAATCTATCGATAGGCTGAACTCTATTTATTTTCTGGAAAGTGCTACTTTGCGCCATTTGTGTTGGTTTTGAAAAAGAGTCCATTTTATGCTATACGTTATCTCTTTTGACGAGTCCTGTTCTTATGTTTTTTAATCTGATCCCTGATGCCTGGTCATTTTAGATTTTATTCTAAGTCCAAAAGTAGCACAAAATAAAAACCGAAAAATCTCTACCCTATATCGTGACATATATCAAAATAGAACGCTCCGTCACAGCGGACAAATTTTTCGATACCAGCCTGTGATAATTAATACCTACCACTTATGAAATACCCCCAGGGGGTTCACTTTCTACAAAATTCTATGGGGTCCTAGGCTGAACCCTCAGAGTCAGATATCAATATATTCCCATACTAAAATGTTGAATTTGGATGTGTTCCTATACCAACTAATATAGTGCCCAAAAGCCACCAGATGCCCAAATGTTAATATGAGACCCAATGCCATACCAAATGTCTAAATATAGGACCAATGCCATACCAATGCTATGATAAATCATAAAATTTGAAATCAAATCATAAAATTTGAAATCAAATGTTCGCCATTTCTCCATATCACAATTTGAATTGCGAGTTTTGGTCTTATTAACTCACCAAAAATTCCAAAACACACATGAAGTGATCAATGTATTAGTTCACATCTTCTGGATTGCTAACTTAGAATTTACAGCCAGTTACTAATATGTCAGACAATAACAACATTTCGTCCAGTTTTCGAATATCGCCATTTTTCTTGGAGCCGTTTATTTTAATTTTAGACGTAATCCTGACTAAATCATGCGATATCTCATCATTGAGCCCAGCCAGTTCCATTTTAATTCATGATTTATTAATCTGGCGATTTTTAAAATATTTAATAAATTTATAACAAGTGCCAGCTTTTTTCAAATGGTTAACCGTGTTTCATTAATAATGAAATTATCGAGTAAGAATATACTTTTCTACATATTATTGCACAATGGTCTCCTGATTTCTTATTTTGGGGGTTCTACCATGGGCATAGTCTATTGAAAGCCCATGGTTCTAACGACGAAATAAAACAGTGAGTGAAATGGGCTGTACAAACTCACAGAGATGCACCCCGGGAGATGCACAAAGGTATGTATAATATAATTCTTTCATATATAGCAAGTGAGTCAAAGCACAATGCAGGTACAGATGGGTTTTTTCACATCCGGCCTTTCATATAATTTTGTAATTTGGTCCTCAATCATGTTTTGCATTTTAGACCCAGATTCTAAAAGTTGCCAAGTGTTTTTGTAGATTAGATTCCTTTTTATTTATGATATAGGCCTTTTGTTGCATTTGGTCACTTGATACTATAATTTCACATAATAATACAGTATACTTATGTACTTATATGCTTTATACGTACCTTTGTACGTATCTTTCGAATGCTTTCCAGCATTTTAGTATTTCCATCTCCGTCTACCATTTTGTCCACAAAGGTCACATGACATGTAATAAAAAAGTGCGCAAATTTAACTAATTAATTTCTTTCTAATTTTCAATTAGTTTTTATAGCAATAGATAATTTAGTTACATACTCAAGTACTAATGTGTTTTGATTTAAAATACATATGTAATTAGTTGTACAGTTTAGTTTCTACATCAACAAGAGTATTTGCGCAACTTATTTATCCTCGTGTACAGCATTGCCGGAAGTTCAAGGTTGAAGGTCGTCAAAACTATCAAAACTTGACACGAATATTTTTCATTTTCCTGAAGATCATATTACTCACATTTTCTGGAATATAGGACTAATCAGGAGGCTATGGTCTACTTTAATATATGTTGCATGTTATGTACGGAAGAGACGCCCTAGGGATATGCCAAAACTTTAGATATCAGACGCTACTTGATACCCTTCACAATTCTACAGGATTTTGAAAAACCAAAACAACTGTGTCTGTTTTCTTAGAATCCTGAGGAGTTCTGAGATATCTTCCAAACGCTTTGACAAATATTGATAATAATGCATCGATTTTTGCAAATAGTGATAACTTTCTGTACAAGTTTCTTTTACATCTACTGTGAAAACTTATATTTGAACCAGTGGGCAGTTCATGTTGAAGGTGGAAATGAAGTTGCAAATCGTTTGGCCGAAACACACGGTTTTGAAAATATTGGTCAGGTAAGCCATTCTACAGTTTCATATAAACAAATCTACATAAAATGGAAATCATATTATACAACACTCACATGATTTTGAAGGCCCCATCCAGGCCTCTCCTTGTTGGAGCTATAATGACCCGAAGGCTCCCCATGGTAACGACTTACCAGCATAGTGCTACATGTAGCTACAGACAAGAAAGTGTGGGAATCAAACCCAGAACCCTTAGATTCAAAGTCTGATGCTCTGCCACTTGAGCTATAAAGGCTTAGCCACTACAACTGGGCTGTAGTAGCAACTTGCTATCAAGGATTGTTACAGAGCTCTTCTTCTATAGATTGTGTCACGTCATTTGTGTGACATCCAGTAATGCCTAAAGTGAGCTTATATGGCATTTCGTCAAGGCAACTATCATTTAAGCCATGATATTATGTGATTGTCACATATTGCCATCATCAGTCACATATTGCCGATCAACAACAACCATATAATCGGTGACATCATTCACATGTTACTTATTTAAGTGGACATTCTATTTTAATTGTCAAAACTCAAAATCTTATTGTTTAGGTTTGATTTACATTAGGGGCCAGGTCAATGTTTCAATGTCCTTCAAAAAACGTAATTAATTTAGTTAGAATTAACACCCGCTCCCCCTTCTAACGAAAGTCAAAATGTTGATTCGCATGCAGTGTAAACAAGTCAAAATGTTGATTTGGATGTAGTATACAAGTACAACCCCTGAGCATATACAATATCTGCTACTGCTATAAACAACATGTTTCAAATTCTCTTCATACATCTGTTGAGGATATTTGATGATCATACCATGCCTGTCAAACCTGAAACTGCAGAAGACAAAATCCAGGGAAACTAAAAATCAATGTCTGTCACCTAATTGAAAAGCGTTTTACACCCTCCCTCCTCCGCCCCCTAACATGATTAATTACATTGTTTGACAGACATTGAAATATTGACCCAGCCCTCTACAGAGTGTACCAAAAAAATTGCAACTTTTTGAAAGGCTAGGAAAGTATCATAACAATAAGGTATTGACATAAAAATTTATTTTCAGAAACTTGAGGAGAGGCATATTTTACCATTCAAATATTTAAGCTCATACTCCTGACTTTATTTTAGTTCTGATCTTTGAATATCAATGGTGAATTGTTCATGTGTCCGAGATTTACAGTTTTTCCTAGAAATTATGAACTTCTATGATTTTATGTTATCAACAATAACACATTCATTATTCATTCTAAATCTGGAGCATTTTTGATAACTGCTTTATCAAAGTCTAGTTCAGGTTTATATCGGCATCTTAGTTACTATGGTATCCTGTTATATTGTGTTTAATTATTTATAATTAAATGTTCTTACATCAGCCTTTCACCTTCATTATCGCTCCCGGCCATCAGGCAAAAGCTTTGGAATATCTGAGGAGAATACCCCTCGATTCATTAGTCCTGATTAATGGCCGCCCAATATACCAGATGCCAATCTCTTTGACTATCATGCATGGGGGCACCTGGAGCACTGTATTGTAGTTAATGGTTATAACCCACAAACTATTGATCAAATTAAAGAAGTTCTGCAAATTGTTCAGAAGTTCTGAAATCTTTTTTTATCTGATTACCGTATTCTCTGTAATTACCGCCCACTCTCTAATAAGCGCCCACCCCGCTTCACAAAGTTCAAGAAACATCGAGGAATCATAATAATCCATAATGAATGAAGGAATTGTTCTTTATCGGCATTCAGAAATTTCAAAAGCTACTGCGCAGATGTTCTGCGCATGTCAAGGTCGTGAACTTTCTGGTTTCTTTTTAATGTTTCTCGACTTTTATACGACTTTTGCACGAATAATGATGATCTCTCATCAAATTAGAAATAATGTATAACTTTAGATCGATATCCAGCAGTCTCTAGTGGAAATATTGAAGGTAATCGGCGATAATGACAAAGTGGGCGTGCCGGAAATAAATTAGACATAGACGGGTCTTCAACCACTGTCAATATTGTCTAAGCGATCTTTACCGTATTCTCTCCAATAACAGCACTTGTCATATTATTATAAAAATATGTTGAAGAAAATGCATTCTTGTCAAGAAAAATTGCCATACATGAAATTCCTCGGGATTTCTGATTTCTTTCATACATGGGCGCTTATTAGAATGGTCTAAATAATGTATTTTCAATTTTCTAAACGCCCTGGGCGCTAATTACAGAGAATACGGTATGTTCTGTTATATGCCAGCCCTAATTGTGAATTCAATATGTTTTACAGGGGTTGAGCTGAGAAAACATTACAATTTACTTTTAACTAATATATTTACGGTAGTTACACAAAAGAAAGTAATCTAATCTAATACTTTCTGGGTAAAACATGTGATACTTTGTGAAAAGTGTTCTTATTAGATTTCCATATTATTATTTGTTAGGCCTGTTCGACATACTTTAAAGCATATACATGTAGTTTGATAATGGGCTTGTTTTTGGGCTTTATAGCCAAAACTCTGCAACCCGCACTGTAATTTACATTTTTTTTTTTTTTTTTTTTTTTTATATTTAAAATTTATTTTCATATCATTTTAAAATTTTACAATTACAATACAATGTTTTTTTTTTCAAGTTCTATTTTAAAATTATGTAACATATTATTATTTTGGTACAATTTCAACTTTTGCTTGTGGATTGTCCACTTAGCAACAATTATTACTTGGTTAATATACTCTTTATCTTTACCTAAAATACCTTTAAAGATGGTTTGTTCATTTAAAATTATTTCACAATTGTTTCTTATAAAGTCCCATATTGGGAGTACAAAATTGCATGTTATAAATCTGTGAGCTAAATCATCCTTATTTTCATTACAAAAATTACAATTTGGCGTTTCCTTTATTTTCATTTTAAAAAGTTTATCATTTGTTATCACAATATTGTGTAAAAATTTCCATTGAAAAACTATTAACTTAGTCTCTTTAGTGACATTATGTGCTAAGCACCAATGAAAGTATTTATCTACATCTGTATCATCCTTTAATAAACTGTTTGTTGGTTCTAAAAATAAATTCTGTATGTAACTAGAATAAACTTGTTTTGTTGTAAGGATTTTGACACTAGCTGTCTCTCTTTTGTGCAGAGCTCCTCTTAAAATGTTATATTCTAATGTGCAATTAATAGCGGTTTTTGTATTGAGATCATTTAAAGACAAAAGATTATTTTCATCATCAAAAATATCTTGAAAGTATAATATATCTTTTTTAACCAAACGTTCTAAAAGGATACATTTGTTCTTGTACTGAAAATCCTTATTCAGCCATACACTTTGAGCTACTTTATCAATTACTTTATATGCTGAGTTATTAAAAGAAATCCAAGATTTTAATACATCTTTGTAAAATTGTGGAACACTTTTGTGTATATACTTTTGAACATTGCTAAAAGTGTCACTTGCTTTTAAAAGTACATCATTTCCACATATTTTGTTAATATAATGTTTGGGTAAAATGCTCCATGAATTATCATGTGTTTCCAGTAAATTCTGTGCCCATTTACACAATAAACTGTTGATTTTACTTTTTAGATCAACCATTTTATAACCACCTTGTTCATATGAACCTATTAAAGTTGACCTTTTGACTTTATCTGGTTTACCATCCCAAATAAATTCATACATTGATTTTTCTAATTCTGCTATAACTTCACATGGGGTACATTTCACTGATGCTAAATATAATATTTTTGACAGTGCTGATGTTTTTATGATTGTGATCTTTCCATGTATTGTTAATTTACGTTTTTTCCATTTTGTGAGTTGGTTTTTAAAATGATTAACTCTACTTTCCCATGACTTTAAATTTGCTTTTACAATATCAGTACAAAAATAAACACCAAGAGCTTTTATTGGCTCTCTTGTCCATTGTATATCAGCTAACTTATAATTTCTGTTTTCTGGATTTTTTCCTATAAACATGGCTTCAGTCTTTTGTTTATTTACTGCTAGGCCAGATAACTTTTCAAAATCTTTAAAAATATTCAAAACATTCTCAACTGATGAATCATTGCCAAGGAACAAAGTTGTATCATCAGCTAATTGAGCTATTTTGATTTCCTTGTTACCAGGCAACAATATTCCATTAACATCCTTATCTTGCCTAATTCGACAAGCAAGTGATATATCCTAAATATAGAGGTTATTTAATTGGAGGTTTTTGATACAGGGTATATCTGAGGGAAATACAATATATCTACTCGAGGGACCATTGGGACCGAGGGTTGATATATTTTATTTACAGTATTTTATTTACTGCTCTGAATTTGTGACATCGTAGATCTGATGAGCGGGTGATATATATATCACCCGCTCACTTCAGATATCAATTATATTCCTGCATGTTATTTACCTATAACACTACTAAGTATGGAATAAATTGTAGTATATATTTATCCATGATACATTTGTAATTTTACCTTCCTCTTAAATGATCACAAAAAATGATGAAAGTGTAAAAAATTTCAAAAAGTATACCTTTATGCACCAAATTATTGGTAGCTTCCGTAAATGATGGAACTAGCATATGATTCACCACATGAAGCCATCGAAATACCTATCTCTTTTTATTAATCTTAACTGCAGAATAACATATGTGCCTTTCACCTTTGTTTAATGTAATTGTTTTATGTATTTTTAGATTGGGAGCATAGATGATCACTATCTGTTTGTACATAGAAAACTTGTAAAACGTTCAACTAGTTCAAGTCCTGACCACCACTCTCTGCTACATAATGATCCAGAGGTAAGTTCTGATCACTAATAATGCTCCATCAGTTCTCAAATGTGGGCGTCAAGTAGAGAAACTATTTCCTGATGGATGGTGAGCTACATTCCAAAGGAATAACAAGAGCACTGGTGATGAACCAATTGCAAATTGGTAACAAGGGGATGGACCATTTGCAAAGACTGGGGATGTACCATTTCCAAAGGGATAAGAAGAGCACTGGGGATGTACCAATTGCAAAGAGATAACAAGGGGATGTGCCATTTGCAAAGGGATAATTAGAGCACTAGGGATGTTATCAATTGCAAAGGGATGAGAAGAGCACTGGGGATGTACAGCTTTTAGAGATAACAAGGGGATGGACCATTTGCAAAGACTGGGGATGTACCATTTCCAAAGGGATAAGAGCACTGGGGATATACCAATTGCAAAGAGATAACAAGGGGATGTGCCATTTGCAAAGGGATAATTAGAGCACTAGGGATGTTATCAATTGCAAAGGGATGAGAAGAGCACTGGGGGTGTACAGCTTGCAGAGATAACAAGGGGATGGACCATGTGCAAAGACTGGGGATGTACCAATTGCAAAGGGATAACAAGAGCACTGGGGATGAACCAATTCCAAAGGAATAACAAGAGCACCGGGGAATGGGGATGTACCAATTGCAAAGGGATAACAAGAGCACTGGGGATGTACCATTTGCTAAGGGATGATAAGAGCATGGGAATGTACCAATTCCAAAGGAATAGCAAGAGCACCGGGGAATGGGGACGTACCAATTGCAAAGGGATAACAAGAGCACTGGGATGTACCAATTGCACATGGTTTTGAGGGTGTAGGCAACAGTACCACAAGAAGCAAGGGCAATTGAAAATTGAAATTTTTCATTGTTTCCCATAGATTTTCTCAGTTTCTACACATTTTTACACTTAGCTGTACAAACATCTTAGACAATGCTTATAATGTTGATAGTTAATATTCGACAGTTGGATGATGAAAACATCTTATTGTTTCAATTTACTCCCTCCCTTCTCGTTATACCCCCACTCTCCACATTCAGTATCCATAAAGTTTGAACCGACCCTGTGAAGATTGATGAAAATTGACACTTATGTTAACAATTCTGGGGAGATGAGAATTATAAGTATATCAGGGGAATAGAATTCACTAAGTATTTCCGCCTAGTGTCATCAATCATTCGTTTAACCTTCTCCTTTGGGGAAACTAAACTAGATCATTCATAATTGAAATAGACACACAAATGAAACATATAGTGTTATGTTGATACCCCACACACTCTTCATGGAGCTTCAATTATATTAACTGAGAACTTTCACATTATGACCACAGATCTCATTATTAATAGAGTATTATAGATTACAAATGAATAAAGGGCATTCAATCATGGACACCAAAATTGGTTTAATTTTAAAATATTTTGGGTTTTCAAAAAAAATTCAAAGGAGCACGTAAGTTATCGCAAACAATTTCAGAAGGTTTTCTGACAATGATCTTTTAGATCAATTCATTATCTCAAAGAAAATTATGTACAGTAATAATAAAATCAAACATACTCGGAGATATTTAACTAGCAATCAACCCATCAACACACTTTTTCAAAGATGTTGACCCCATTTTCACCAAAAATGCAATCATTTTTTACAATGTTTAATGCATTACTATTCTCTATTTTGATGTATCAAATAGTTCTTGAAAAAAAAACTTAATTGCTTTAAGATAAGTGTTCTCCATGTTATTTCTCCATTGAAAAATCTCATGCTATCCATTGGTTTTAGTTCATTTTGGTCATCCAAATTCAGTCCCTGGAGCAATCAACTTTTCCTTTTAGGAAATCGAACATGTCTCAAAGCATATTCTAATTATGCATTCTACAATATAATAAAAGGTTGCATTTTTGGTGAAAATTAGGTCAACATTTTTGAAAAAGTATGTTGATTGGTCCATTGCCCCTTCAATATCACTTAGGTCTGGTTGACGAAATTATCAATATATAAACTTTTCTTGAAGATAATGAATGGATCTAAAAGATACACCCATGTTCATGATCAGAAATTGTTTGAGATAACCTACATGCTCCTTTCATATTTTGACTGAACATTTTTGAATAGGAAAGTCAAACAAAGTCTCATGCCTAAATGCCTTGGAGGAGGGTCTAATATCTTACTGCTTTGCAGCTTTTAGTTACCTTTGAAGGTCTTTGAAGATATAACATTGGGCAGTCATGTTTTCAACATTAGTTATTGATTCCTGTTGTAAAGTTGTTCTATAAGGTCAATACAAGAAAATTGTACAGAATGATAAGGTAATAAGTTCTATCCAATTATCGTTTCTTTTTGAAACTCGAATATGCAGAACATCCATTCTATCAATTTCCCAGATCAGTTTACTATATGATCTTTCAGGGGCAGATCTGAAAACTAAAAAGGGAAGGCAAATTTCAAGTCTGAAAGTGAGCCCAAAGTTTGAATATTTTAGGCCCATTTTCTTGATAATTTGGCCTCAAATTAAAATATAAGATCAATTCTAATATGATATGTGGCGTCACAATAGCTAGAACAATCAATTAACTGGTCTATTTTGGAGTATGTATGACCGCTAAAATCTATTAATGCAAATAGTTGTGTTTCTTGTCTGTTTATCATATTAGAATCGTAACAAAGACCTCGATTTTATGATTTATGCCAAATATATGACCTCAAATTTTATTCTGGACATTGTCAAAGACCTCAATCGGTATGTGGTTTTGGTCTTTTAACAATGAACAGAATAACATTTTTGGTCATATATTACGCCATAAATCATAAACTCTCAGTCTTTATTCCTTAAGTAATGCCCAAAATGCCTATCTTAGGAGGAGAAAGGACCCAGGAGTTTAGGAGTGTATCACCTTTGAAATAATCCATAATTTGTGTTTTCAGGTTAAGTGGGTGGAACAACAGGTCTCCAGGAAGAGAGTAAAGAGAGACTTCCAAGAGACTAAATCCAGCCATATGTCATTCCAGGATCCACTCTGGTCAAAACAATGGTATTTCGTAAGTACCTTGAACCTATCAGGCAACCGCAAACCATTCTTTTCCTTATGTAAGGAATCTTAGTAGGATGTTTTGATTAGAGATATTTAGATTATTGTTGCATGGTCATGTGATCTGTAATTGCAACTTATAGAGCAAGAACATTTTTTCTTGAATGCTGTGATCACATTTCCTCTGATTTTCAAAACTGGCGCCCCCCAGCCAATGAGTATTTTGTTCAAAACTGATAGCAATTTTGAACCAAATACTCATAAGCTTGGCGATGGTACTGAAAATCAGAACAAATGTGACCACAGCATTTGACTAAGAAAGGGGAGAGTGCCTTGCTGAATTTAAAGATCAAGTCGTGATATGATTAATATTTTCTCTTCAGGATTATGTAACTCTGCTAAAGAATTACTTTGTCTGTGTGAAGTCCTGACGCATGCCCATATATGGACAAATATTGAAATACCACATCTATTTTGGATATGAAAGCTTTAAATATTGTGGATATAGAGCTTTATATATTGTATCTAGTCAGTGCTATCAAGGATATTTAAGTTGTTTAAGATATTTAAGTTATTGTGTACATATGTTTAGTATTATTTTTATCAACCTTTTTGAGAATATATGGACATTATGTTATAACCAGGGTGGTAAAAAAGGCAATCCTGCATTTTCCTCATATCTTTGTCAATTTAAGAAAATTACACCCTGATATTTGACACATTTGTACATCATTCAATTTACTAAGAGCCTATCATATTTCATTACCATCACGCTGATAGTCTCCATGCTTCACCACTTTGAACAACATGCTCACCAAAGTGTGGCCATCATTGAGCTATTAGGCAAACATGCACAAATTTTTAATGACCTGACTATATTCTTCAGCAGGTATTGGCCTGAAAGACATGGATAGGTCTCCCATTTGAGGTCTGAAATTGTCCTGAGGTCATTCCTGTACACTCTATCTTTGGCATATCACCTTAGGTATCTTCAGCAGGTATTGGCCTGAAAGACATGGATGGTCTCCCATTTGAGGTCTGAAATTGTCCTGAGGTCATTCTTGTACACTCTATCTTTGGCATATCACCTCAGGTAAAAGTTGGTGAAGGACATTTTGGATTATGTGTGCAGGTTTGCCTACAGCGTAATAGTGGCCACTGGAGTATGTTGTTCAAAGTACTGTAACATAGTGTCTATCAGTTTAATGGTCATAAAATATGGTAGGTTTGGTAGAAAATTGAATGATGTACAAGTGTGTCAAATATCAAGGAGTAATTTTCCTAAAATGAAAAGATATGAGGAAAATAGCAGCAGAGTTGCCATTTTTACCACCCTGTATTATTTAGCGTGCAATCTGTAATTTGAATTCTTGATGATGAAAAATATGTTAAAAATATATTATAAGCTTTGTTCAAAACAAGCTATAAATTGTTATATTACTATCCCATTAACCAAGCTCATTTAGGTATATTATAAAGAGAAGCCATTCATTTTTTCCTCTGCCTGGGTGATAACTCAAATACCTGTTGGCAGATTTGGTTCAAATTTAATGACCTGTTTTATGGGCACAAGAGAATGGAAATAAAAGCATGCAAATATATTGATTTGTATTAACATAGAATGTATTAATTCTGCTAAGCCAATGCATGCATGCTAAGCCAATGCATGCATGCTAAGCCAATGCATGCATATTAACTTCAACATGAAAGTATGCTTCAAATTAAAAGATTGGTTTACTTTATCATCCCAACAAATGAAATTTGAGTAGGGATATAGAGAGATAGTCCATCCATCTATTCTTCTCTATGTCTCTCTGGGTTATAACTCAAATACCCATTAATGACTTTGGTTCAAATTTTATAGGCTGATATCTTAATTCCATAGGATCTCTTCTCGAGAATACATTGGGCTGTATCAAGAGAAGGTAACGGCTGTTACTATTGTGTTTAAGAAGGCGGACAGGAGGTGTTGATTTCGATATTCTTAGTTTCCATTAAATTAGAATTAAACTACTTTATAGTTGACATAATGCTTTGATATTTGAACTAAACCAGGCTTGTAAGGAAACTCTGGAGTATCATCAATTCCACAGTTCAACGATATATTCCATTTCCCCTAAGCTGTGAAAGATATTGTTGAACTGTGGAGCCCACACAAGTCTGCAAAATAGATGAACAAACGATCATATTCCAGAGCTTCCATGTCATATAAGTCTGATTTAGTCCAAATATCAAAGCATGATGTCAACTATAAAGTGTTTGATTTGATGAAAACTAAAAATATTGAAATCTACACTTATCGTCATTTTAAATGCGAAGGTAACAGCCGTTACCTTTGCTTGATACTGACTAGTGATGGCTCCCCAAGAGGGGGTAGTGAGGTCACTTTAGTCACTTTTAAAATTCCAAAATGTCATATTTAAAATTTACCTGTCATCTTTTGTCAGATTCATTCCTTCATAGTCAGTCAAAGCATTTAATGCGACAAATGGTCTGTAATGTTCCATTGTTTGATTACTGTTAAGAATAAGTCACCTTTACTTGAATCCATTTACATTCAGAACAAATTGTATGTTTTCGTCACCTTCAAAACCCGCGTCAGTCAGATCAATGTACAAAATTGTCACATGCAAGGATTTATTTGTCACATTAATTCGTTTTTAAATATCCAAAAGTCACATTTAGTCACACCTTTAGAGGCCAGGTCACCCAATCACATACCCCTTGGGGAGCCCCCTAGTGATATAGGACCTCTGTTGAAGAAGAAAATAATGAAACAATTCTTTGAAAAAACAACATGATGTAATGAATAATAATTATACCTAGCTATTTTTGATCCTAAAATTCACCAAAATTGAAGAAATCTCTACATATAACTGATTATTATAATTTCTGATATGAAAATGAAAAGGTATAATTCATGTTATTATCTGTAACTCTGATACTGAACTACTCTTTTCAAATATAAGTCCAATTCATATCACTATGAATAAAAAATTGGGCCAATTTAGGATCAGAACTACAGACAATGCCTTTTAAGATATTGTAGAAAAAGTCCAACTTGACTTTCCAAGTTGTACCTTTCTGGTGAAAGTATCATAACACAGACATAATGGGTTCATGTTTCAAACTCAATGACTCCAACAATCTAAATTAGACAGACTTAAGACTTCTGTAAATCATCAAAGTATTTATTTTTTCAATACTTATGTTTTGAATGACAACGGTTTTTTACTTTCAGAACAAAACCGTCTCAACCTGACCTATATGTTGGCTGATTTGATAACAATAAGGCACATGTTAACTATTCTGCTGCTAGTTTTTGATCAGGATGTCTGTATAAAGAATCTATCACTCTGAAAATTTTTTAAGATTCCCCATGACATGCTTAACAAGCAAATCCACCTATTTTACCATTAAGCTGCTGCTAACATTTTCTTTTGACATTTTAGTGGCTTCTTTTTCAATTTTGAGAAGTTTAATTGAAATTTGAGAAGTTTAATTGATATGTCTTTGAAAGTTTCAACTATTTTCCCAATGGACTAAAAATTCAGAATCGTACAAGAATATATTGTAGATATCCTGACTCACCTTAAACATTTTTATCATGGGGGCACTCCAGCTGTAATGACCAATAGCAACTCTAGAATGGTATCAGATGAATAACAAATATTTATTATATTATTTTGAGATGAAATGTATCTGCCTATCTAGAAGGCATTGTCTGAGTTTGTGAGTTTGAAAGAACCCCAATGCATATTTGCAATATACATGTACTGTAGTATTGAAAGGACAATCACAAGCTGTTTAATTTAAGAATATATATTTTTGTATAAAATTTTTTAACAAAATAAATCCTTGTATAAAGTAGAATAGTATTTTTCTCCAATGATTGTAGCTTGAAATCCTGAGTTATTTCCTGTTGTATTTTCTAAAATAAGCAACCAGAACACCAAAACTCAATTGCGGATTAGAAAATACAATGGTATAATGGTGACCCTGTATTTCCTTCAATTTGAAACTTGTTTTTGGAGGAAGTTGAAAAATAAAAAACAAATATTTATTTAACTCACTTGGTTTGGACAGCCTCCGGAACCACCTCTTTACCCACATGCCAACTTCCTTTTGGAATACCCTCTCTGAGAGACTTCTCACAAGTTGTTGGTTGAGGTAAAAAAAACATATAAGCACAATCAAATCACAATATAATCAGTAAAACTCACAGTTAAGACATATTTGAGATATCCCATCTTTGATTGCCTCATCTTCATTCTGATACTCAGACCATCTCTGCTATGCACAAGAATGCTCTGATATACTTTGCACTGATTGCCGATCGAATGGGCGGGGCCTAGATTTATAATGATATTAATATATTCAATGACGTCAGAATTCTAACCAATCACAGTTGATTAATTTCTAAAATTAGAAAATATACCTTTTCCCCACGATGTTATACATGATTTGTAGTTCACTACAACCATGGTGCTTCAAAGTTATATATAACCGAGTTTCTTGGCAATCCATGCGTTTAAACCCGACTTATTTGAAGTTGAATTTATGAAACGAAATGACGTCCGACATGACCTACATATTTTTTTCACTTTTAAAGATTTCTCTAACCTGTTGATCCTCGAGGGGTAAATATCTACTCACATCACGTCTTTATCTCATTTTCTACACAAGTAGTCGATACCTAGTCCGTTTTCCATCGATTTGATCGTGTATTTAACAAGTTTAGAAAAATCCTTTTTTCCTAACGAGGTACCATTATCGTTCGGTCTATCTTCCGGGATCATCGTGGTAGCACAAACTCTTCCCGCTTCCAGTTTTAGTACTAAGGAATACACCCTGTTTATTTTCTATCAATGGTATACACTTCTCTTGAATATATAAGCGCAAATGACAAAAAGGGAAGGGTACGTGATCAAAAACTTTAAACCTGCACATCGCTCCAAAACGCAATATGTTGACATATTATATTGTTTTTACATTTTCAAGCTCTAATATAAAGTTTATGTAAATAAAAATTGTTTTTCTGCGTAATATCAAAGAACAAACATTTAGTTGAAAAAAGTAAAAAGGGTGGCGTCGGGATTCGAACTCTGGCCTGCAGCGTGTTCAGCGAGGACCACAAGACCATGAGTCCCTATGAATATATGATGTAATTTAACGCTACTTATTTGAAACTGAGCGATCTGATTGGTGGAGTTCTTTTACCCGCCACTCACTGTCACGTGACCTGTAAATACGGATTTGATTCGTCATATCACTTTGGCCGAAATCTGGACGGGCCACGCCCCCATCAGATCGAAGGCTATTGCCAAGTAACTCACGGCATTCTAGAAGGACACTGATAGAAGGCTGTGATATCTCACGATGCCTCATCTTGGACAAATGATGTATTTATTCATGTTCCTCTAGAACAAGAATTTGATTTTCACACTTTCAAAATCTTGCCCCTAAACAAAATTAACTTTGTTC